CCTTCGGGAGTAGGGCGGTATAAAAATCAAATAAAATAAAAATAAATAAATAAAATAAAGTTGCTGAACCTTACAATCCTGTTCTCTTCGCAAAGTAATTCCTTTCAGTAAAAACACCTCTTTAACTGCGATTGGGAATCCATTTTTGTAAAAAAATTGTAAAGTTCCACTTCGAATCTTCCTTCCTATATAAGAAATCCCAACGCCTCCTGACAATTTTCCAGTTGTCTGTATCAAAGCCTCTGAAGAAATGTCTCTCAATATTTCCTGGTTAACGCTCCTTCAAGCCTCTCTGCCTTTCCTTCTTAATTTGAAAAGCCTCCATTTCATTTTCCAAAGGCACATTAAACTGGATTGTTTTGTCCGCCTCTTCATTCAGCAACTCATTATTGTTTGGCAACTGAAACGATACAGTATCTTCACTTGTATCTTTGTTTCGAATTTGTGTAAAGTCCTTCTTGAAAAACCCTTCCATTCTTTCCACTAACGCGGAGGTAAATGATTCTAAAATTTCTTCAAAAAAATCCACAGTCAGTATTTGTGTATTTACTGATGTATGTAATGGTGAGCCTTCATCACTTTCAGAAAAACCAGCCATTTTTTTTCCCCAATAAAACTTTCACTTTATACTTTTCCAGCAACTAGATCAACTATTCCAATCCTTAAGTAGTACAAGTCTTTTTTTTTTTTAGAAATGATTTTTAAATCCTTCTCCTTTTAAAATAAATCCTCTTTTAAACAGGGGCTTTCAGCACCACATAATACTTTGTATCTAACTTTCACTTCTCCACGCCCCATTAGAATCAAACGCCATCTTACTTTCCGTTTCTCCCATAGAAATTCAGAGGGAAGTGATAGACTTTTCGGAGTTAAAGTTTAGTACTTGCCATTTTAGTTTCTCCTGTATTTGCTCTGCCAGCTTTCAAGTCCCAAATTTTTTTCTTTAAAGTTGAGTTGCTGGGGTGGTCGCGACGTCTAATTCTGCTTAAAGCAGAAATGTCCCAGGTCCGGAGCAATGATGGGCTTCCCGGGGATCTCTCACCCTTTACGCCCCAGATTTAAAAAGAAACCTGGGGCTCTTGGGGAGCTCTACCCACACCCGTCGGCTCTCTTTCCCCCCTTCTCCCAGAGGGAAAGTTTTCAAGCCGCTAAACAGCTGATTTTCGCTGTTCTAGTGGCTCTAATGGAGTCCTGGGGCTGGTGCTCACAAAGGAGCGTCTTTCAGCGTCGGCGGAGCCACCGGAAGTCCTGACAAATTTTTTAAAGCAGAATTCAAAACTAGAAGTAGGTATTTTCTTCTTTGTGACTCTTAAGCAGACATGTACTTGCTCCAATAGGAAAACATTGAAAAATTTGACAACCTATAGGCATTTTGCTCTTTATACTATAACATTCTGGCTCAGTATATATTTTTGTTATTGTTTTCCCTCTTAACAGTCTATGGTGCCCCAGAAGATGGAGAGCTGGAAAGAGAACAACCTTTTTCTCTAAAGAATCAGTTGTTGAGTAAGATACAAATGTATACTAATTTATCTATATAATACTATGCTGAGAAATCTGCAAACTGTGCTAGTTAAGTTTTCCCACCAATGCAAATTATGACTCCAATGTCTACAATGTATTCCCACAGCTATTATTTGTATCTAGTTTGCATTCTGCATATATACTTGCAATTCCTTCTGAGCAGACATGCCTTAATTAGCAGTGATGTGATTGTATAGACCAGTGGCTCTTAAACTGTTTGACCTAATTATCCCTTTTCCTGGTCTTGAATGTCATTACTCCCCAAACATAAAAAAAAACTTGTTTTACATAAGTGTTTCAGCAGTGGCAGTCCTAAACTAGAGCCTCACCTCAGGAACAAGCAATTAAAAATTGCTTCATTACACCAGGATATGCCCAAATTATCCCTTGAAGGTAATTACCCCCAGTTTCACCCCTGTAATTGACAAAGATTAGTCTTTGAAACCACCCCAATTCTTCTGGAAAATGTAATTGTTTCAGTGCTTGATAAAGAATCCTTTGCCAGCTCCCATGCATGTTGCAAAGTATCTTTTTCAGATGTTTTGTACAGTTGTACTCTTTGTAAGCTAGGAATGGCTGGGGGAGAAATGCATTAATTTTGTAACCTAATCAGTATTTTGATTCCTGCTTTTGTATAAAGGTAAGTGTGTTGCAACTATCATGTATGAGTAACTTTAACTGTGAAATGGTCACTTGCATAAGAATTAAGGGTGAGATTCCCTAATACCCTAACATTTGTTGTTTTAAATGTTCTAAATGTTATCAGCCAACCAGTGTGTGAATGTTACCTTAACTTACTCCAGTTTTTGTAGTCAATACAGCAGAATTTGAATGGAAATGGATGTGTGCTTTCCCCGTTAGGTAGGGAGTGGTGTGTGTGTGTGTGTGGTGATAATTGGAATAAATTCATTAAAACATGTGGGAAATTTTACTCTTGACTAATTTCTGCAATTGGCTTCACTAGGTATACTTTGACTGTAAGAAATCCTAGATTGAACTCTGTTTATGCAGATTTTTCTTCTTTCTTAAGCTTTGACTTTTAAATGCCCGGACAAAGCTGACCAGAAGCCCATAGAGAAGAAACTTCCAGGTAAGGGAAAGTATGTTTGTATTTCATATTTCCTGCATGTTACAATTATTTTGGTCATTGTGTGCATATTGCAGTAAGATAGGTAGTAACACTTTTAAAGATATTTTCCCTATCTGAAGTCATTGCAAATGTTGGAGCCTTCAAAAACAATGCAAACCAATATCTGTTTTGAAGCAGAACAAGAGAAATCAATATATCAAAAATAGATTATTGTAATTTAATCCACAGTATTCTAATTAGATTTCTTTTCTACATCAATAAGGATGGTTTCTTTGTACGCCATGTAGATTCTTAGTATAATATAATAGAAAATTAACATCTGCCATGATTGTTTTTTTAATGTCAATGGAAAGGTGCATTTTGTTTAGAAATGTAAAGGTCATTTCAGTAAAATGCCTAGTAAAAATGTATAATGGATTATTATAACTAAAAGATGAGATACTCATAAACCCTTTGATGTTTGTATTTTGAAAAGTATTTATTCAAAATAAAAATCACATTTATCACAAGTTGCATAAAATGATACAGCTTTTTCAAAAAGTTAATAGAAAAATACTTTAAAGTACATTTTTGACAATAGAGGACTATTGCTGTGCCTTCAGATAAAGCTTTAAATGAAATAAGGGGGAAATTACCCAGCATAGCCAATCTCTAGATGGGTCAAATTTTTAATATTTTTATTCCTTTAAATCTTACTATAAAAATACACTTTCACGTTCACATTGTTAATTTGAAATACAAGTGCATAAGGTTAATGGTAATCTGGACAAATTAGCACATAGAGATTTGGGGGCCTCATACCATGCAGTAGAGGAAAAGGCTTCACTCATAGTGTTAAGGTACAAAAGAGCTAATGCCATAAATAGTATTTTGAAGGTCACTTAGGTCAGTCAGTGTGTTGTAGATATAAAGTAGACAGTATAATTTGGTAAACTTTTGCTTAGGAGGAGTACAGTTTTAATGTCAAATTAAATTATTCTAATTGGTTCCTGGGAACTGCAGGAGCTCAACTCCCACAAATCTATTTCAGTATCAACTTTTGCTAGAATTTCAGTTGCTGTGGCGTCAAGTATTATCTATCTAGAGTTAAACAATTCTCTCTTTAATGTAGATTCTATGACTATCCAGAAGGTCAAAGGATTGCTGTATCGTCTACTTAAAATTCCAGGCTCAGAACTGAAACTATCATATGAAAGTTCTAAAGTAAGCTCAAATTCAGTAATGCAACAGTACATGAATTGAGACATTCCAGAATAATACAACTCATTACCCTGGTAAAATCAATACATTGCACTCTATAATGTTGGATGATTGATTTCTTTATAAGAAAAGCAGTACTATTGTTTTGAAATCAATTAGCTTCCTTTCCTTTATATTCCATCTTAGTCTTTTAAGGTATACTAGATTAAAATGTGCAAATCTAATATCTATCTGAATCATTTTCTTTAAATCCTAGATGAAAGGCAAAGAATTTGAATTGGACAATGACCTAAAGCCCTTGCAATTCTACTCTATTGAAAATGAAGATTGCATTCTAGTACGATGGTAAAAGCTGCTTTTGATACATTTTAAGATAACTTGCACACTGCTTACAAACTTTAGGCTGATTTTTAATTGTATTGTGGGGAAAGCTTTTATAAAAATGTATCACTGTTTGGTAGAGCTTTTGTATTCTTGTTTTTTTTAAAAAAAAAAGAAAAGAAAAAAAAGAAATATCATGCCTGTAAGAGAAAAATGAAAGCTTTTGCCAGCTTCAAATAAAAAGTAATTCATTTGTGCTACACTAGTAACTTACGGAAATCAGTGGGACTCTCAACAAACCTTCCACTCACTACTATACAAATAACATATTTGAGAGAATTAAAAGCTGAGGTATTTCTTTACCAACCCATCCCAATAGCCACAGAATACCAGAAAGCATAAAAATCACTCAACAGGGGGGACGGGGATGGGGACCCTAGTATTTAATATGCATGTTGGCTGAAAGTACACAGAGGATAAATATATTACTACAGCATCTAACTTCCTTCTTTACAGAAGTTACATGATAATATATCAGTATTCCCAGCAAGAGGCACTGTTTCCCTCATATTTGAAATACAGACTGAAATTAAAACTTCAGTCTGATCCCCAATTCATTAGAAGCCAACACATGTGTGCAGTCTGCCTCGGTTAAGGGTCTTCTCTAGCAAGGCATATGGGCAGAGAAGTGCAAGTTTAATATGTAATATGTACAGTATTGTATCTGCCTTTCTCAGTTTATCCTCAGTCCCTTGCTCTTGTATACATACATAAATGCATGAAAAGTCAATTTATCTACTTCTGTAATATATTAATAAAAGAATTCACATTCATATTTGGCTTCGTAAAAGAGTATGTTCAAAAATGAAATGTATCCATTTATTAAAAAGGGGATATGTGTGCAAATATAGCCCTAAGGGCCATTTCACACTAGACAAATTATCTACACGAAAATACTTCTTTAAAGAATGTGTGAAGCTTGTCTGTAATTTACCGCCATACTGAAATGAACATACACTGTATGTAACCAGTGAAGTAGAAGCATAAATTGGCTAGCGACATACTCTTACATTTGTCACCAGTAACAGACTACATAGGAGACTGATGGAACATCTGTTTTGAGGCTGTCCCTTCCTTTCCTCTCTAAAGTTTTCCTTAGAGTGTTTGCCACCCTTCATTTTTCTCCACATTTGCAGGGGTCTCCACAGCGTTCCTTTATTCTCCAAAGCTCTGCAAGCTCCTGAGCAGAATACTGAGGAGAGGACAGCATACCACTCTCACAAGTCTTCTCACACAACCAGAGATCGTCCTATTTTAAAATAAAGCAATATACTATTAATGTTGCTACACTAATACAGGCATAGCTTCAAAACCAGTTTTAGGGGACTTGGTTTAGATACATGTTCCCTTGGGATATGTAATTTATAGACATTAAGAAAATAACAGGTAGGCAAAAATCCAAATTTATATACGTTGCTCTTTCCTAATTTAGACAAGTACTGACAAGTTGAGCAAACAATTCAAAGAAAGGAAAGAAGGGAAGGGCAGAGGCAATATTTTATTTAAAATTGATTTTTGTGCTGTCCTTCCATAAACTTAAAAAACATATGAATTCCTTAGGATGTGGGCATTACGTTAAAGAATAAATCTAGTTTTATTAGATTATATGATGTTGCCTGAATAAATATAAACTTCTTGAGATACAAGTCCTAATTTGGGTAGTATACGTGAATTTTATGTATGTACTGTATTTAATCATTCAAGAGCTTCAGGCAATAATTTGCTTAGGCTGAAAGAAACTGACTGGCCTAAAGCCACCTAGGGAGCTTCCAAGTTGAAATAGCTGAATATCATAGAGTGGAAGGTCTACCTAATCAATATACATCTTTAAATCCCTTTCTGAAACCAATATATATTACTTTATAGCTTTATTGTCAAATTCAAATTTATTTAATTTATTTAATAAATCAAATAATCTGGAACACGCTTTTTCTTGACAAATTAACAATTTCTGCTAATCACTGCACTGTTTTCAATTAATGTCATTATATTTCTGCAATCTTTTGATGCATAAATTTATACTGTCCCTCAATTGGAGATAACATCTGTAAATTACTTTATCCTTTCTCAAAGATAATACTTAAAAGTTTTGCCACACATCAACTAGTCTCTTCAATATTCTAGGAATATATATTCTTGTTGGAAAAGACCAGGTCAATTAATGAATACTGATATAAAAATTAAGTAGTTTGAAGTATGCCTTCACTGAGCAGCTGTTACACTGATTCTACTAATAATTAATCATTTAAATGTGGAATTATGGACATTGGAAAACTTGGTTCATTTGGTACAAACTTGGTACAGTTTTCCATATTAAGAACAATACTAGGTGTTAAATACTTTTCTTCTCTTTGGTATTTTCATGGAATACCTTTTCTTTTAGCATGCAGGAAGCTGGATCTAGTTCACAGTTAAGACACTGAATTATAACAATTTCTCTCATCTGCATTCTTAATATAAATTTAGCAAACAGAATTTGCCCACATACTGTTAAGGGTATTTCCAACATGGAATATAACTAAATGGACTATTATAAAACATTTGACAGACAAATCTACGCTTATTTCCAACAGCAAATTAACAGAGGTAAGGAAGAAACCAAGTAATTTAATTGTTTAATGGTCTTTAATCATTTTATAATATGAATTTATTTGTATGTTTCTTTCTATATTTTTAATTGCCTTAAAAAAGCAAAGGAATTAGGCAGATTTCTTTCTTTTGTTTCTTCATTACTGTATTACAAATTGTTGAATCCACTCACATTTCAAAGCAATTTGCCATGAGAGGGGAGGGAAAAACAACTGGTTTGGAAAGAGCTGAATTCTGCCTTAAATCTATATTTTTATTTGATTAATCACTGGGAGTCACTTCTAGGTAGTAAGACAAAATTATCCGAAGTATTTATCAATGCCTAGTTGATAAAACTTACAAATTTTATAAGCATAGGTCAGTAGCTCTGAAAAATCACTTCTTGGGGCTTTTATGATTCCTCCTCATCCTTGAATATATATTTCAGAAGTCCACAAAATTGATTTCAGGATAATTTTTAAATCTTGGAGTGCACTAGGGGCCTGTAAAAGTTACTATTATTCATACAGAATTATTCAGAAATTTCATCTGACAGTAACACATACCTGGTATCTTTTTGGCCCAATGGCTGCCATCCAAATACCCATGCTCACATCTTCACCCTAAGTGTATAAATTAAGTCAGAACCAAAACAAGGAGTGTAGTAAATAACCAAATTCAGAATACTGAAACTTGCTGTAGAAGGCGCATGCCTCACAAAATAAAGTTTGCCTTGTCTTAAACACTTATGTTGGCAATGTTTGTTTAGGTTACAGATGCCTCACAACTTTATACCAAAACAAGCATAATGAAGAACTTAAGCACTTTCATAAAGACATGGGCTTCCACAAGTCATAGCAGGTTTCCAATTTAACTCTGGTTTTTTGTTTTGGCAACAAAATGGAACTGGTTTGCCATTGTCATCTTCTGGGTTTTTTCAATTCTCCAGCCCTTCCTATGATCTCATATCTGTATTAATCAGGCCTGATCTTGCATAGCTTTTTGCAAGGGGGTAAGTCAAGATTGTCTATTGCAATATTTCTCAACCTCAGCAACTTTCATGAAGGGAGGACTTCAACTTCCAGAATCTCTCCAGCCATCCTGCTGCCTGGGGTAATTCTGGAAGTTGAAGTCCAAACATCCAAAAGTTAGTGAGGTTGATAAAACACTGGTCTAATGCAGTATGAAAATTCTGTCCAATCAGAATTCTATGTATAGCAATCATTCATCTATCTACCAATGTGCAAATGTTTCCATTACGTATAGTTTATAAAAGAGAGAAAGTACAGGTAATCCTCGAGTTATGACAGTTCACTTAGTGACTGCTCGAAGCGATGCGATAACCCCAAGTATTTATGACACAGTCCCAAAATTACACATGTTGCAGCACCATGGCAGTTGTTCACCCATACCACAGAAGCACTGCAACATTCACCCTATTCCTCCTGACTCCTCACAACTGCTTCCCCCTCCCACGCTGGACAAGAGTGAAAGGTTCTGGGGGCTGTGATCTTGCGTGCCTTCAGGCACCCATTCTCTGCAAAAGCAGATGAGTGCCTGAAGCCGCATGAGATCACGACCCCCAGAACCTTTCACTGTTGGCATAAAAAGCATTTGCAAGCTGACTGGACGCAGGAAGGGAAATCGTCCTGTTCTCCTCTCCCTTAGAGACAAAGAAACCGCGACAGAAAGGAGAGAGATCTTTGCAAGGCGAGTCCAGTGCAGCAGGATGGGAGGGGGGAAGCATAAGGTATCTCAGTGGGTGGGGGAGGCCTTGGGTAGCCTGTCCCATCACTAGCCCCCCATGGCCTTCCCCACCCTGAGATACCTCATGCAGTTAATGACCCTCGCATTTGATTAGCAAATGAATGGGCAAAAGCAGGGAGTGATCACGTTCAGGTAACGTGATTCACTCCTAGAAATCATCGACTTACAAATGTAATTGGCAGGCTCCATTACATTTGCAACTTGAGAATTACCTGTATATGAATTTGCACAAATAATCTTGAAGGACTATTTATTTTCAGTATCAGTTTTTTATTAGTGATCCAATTTCTTCAAGGTAGAATCCCACTTTGCTCTAATCATGCCCTCCCCTCCTATCAAAAGACTTACCTGATATATTTTGAGTCTTTCAGAATTGCTTGCTAGCCATTCTACAACATCTTTGGAAATAACATAACCAGACCCACAAGCAAAGGCTGGGTATGCAGGACTTGGGTACTCTAATTCTTGCCACTTCCCAGTCCGATCAACTGCCCAATTTAATCTGAAACTTAAGCCAAAATGTTGTAATTTTGATACAAAAATTAATAAATACTTCTCTAACTTATCTGAGCAATTGCTTTCCTAAGCTCTCTCTCTCTCTAGCACTGTCTAACAGACATTTTAATTTTCTTGTCCATTTCCTTAGAAGTAACATGCTTATTCCCCAGCTTGTCTTTTGGTCTCTTATTATAGGGTGGATAAGTAGATCCCTTTAATAATTCATCAAGAGGCTTAAAGTAACAGAAGAACCCAAACTCATTTCATGGCTTTGAGAGGTTGCATACTTCTTGCTATCTTAAGGACTTGACTCTACAGATGGACACGCAGAACCAATGAAAATAACTCAATTTTGGTCAATGAAGCAAGACATTTTGAAACAAGTTTCTTAGATCCGTTTTAATCATTGTTTGATGTCTTCTCAATAGTGTTTTACAGAAAAGAACATTAACAAAAAACCAGTTTTTAAAATGTTTTTTCTATTAAAAAGATCTTTTCTTCTTTCTTTTAACAGTCAACTCACGTTAACTGCAGCAAATCTATTTTGATTACTATGAAATTATTTACACTAACTGTATAAATAACACAATATATTAGAAAACAATACTCACTTTCCCCACCAGATATTTGGTCTGCCCAGGTTTTTAAGCTTTATTCTGTTAAATATTGCCTCTAAATCTATGTAGCAGTCATCATCTGTCTTCAGCAGGACATCAAAACTTGCAGCTTCTACAGTCCTATATCAAAATTATCAGGGTTATCATCATCTGGAAAAGTATTTGTCAATATGCACCTTTATCTGTCATGAATGGCAAGTACTCTAATCAAGTTTTAATTAAACCATAATAGCAAATAAAACAATAATCTTATTCTAAGAATATATTAAACGGTGACCCAGCACATCGTAGAATATCTCATTCTTACCCTTGAAGGCTACATTAAATAAAGGTGCAAAGAAAAGGAATCTGATTTACAACATTTTTGCCAGAAAATGGCATTTATTAGTTTCCAGCGAAAAAAAGCACCCCATAGTGAACAATGGGTTCATTTAATAGCAGTTGTCTTTGTTGAACAACAACTGCTGTGTTTGCTTTATGACCATCACATTTGCTTAATGACAACTGCAAAAAAGGTGATAAATCAGTCACGGTCATGTGATGACCCATTGAACCATCACAACCTACAATCAAACTTGCAGGCTCAATTATGCTCCTAAGTCAAGGACTATCTGTATTCAGTGTCCTCGTGTTAATTTTATAACAAATCAACAAGCAAAACCCATATGATATCACCATCTCACATTCCAGCTTACCATCGATAGAAATTCAGTAATTTGGCTGGAACGTTTCTGTAAGTATCAATAACATCAACAAAAACTATATCGTCGTAAATGTTGCTTTCTTCCTTCAGTAAGACATCCTCCTTTTCTAGTTTGTTCATATGGTTTAGGAATCTTTCAGAGCGACTCTGCAGGGTTTGTAAAAGTATCTCACCTTCTGAAATAGAAGCAAGAAAAGGTTATCTCACATTACAATCTTCTACTGTCCTTACACTGAAGGGTTTTTAATATGCTTACTTTGAGCTACATCCGATGTTACATATATCCTTGTGCAATGAGGTTTCTTATTCTTCTCCCAAACCCAACCAAATGTGGTGCAACAGACTCCCTCAACCCTCCATATCTTATTTGAAATCTGCAAACAGAAAAGGAATTCCTTTCGCTATCAGACTTTGATCAACAAATGCATTCAATAAAAGACAAAACTGTGCAACTATAGTCAATTTATTATTTCAATAAACTTGTGCAGTCTTCTAAAGTAAAAAGCCAGTGAAGAATTAAGCAGCAATAAAATATTAGGCACACTGAAAAATGATTGGGCAAAATACCGAACCACACAAATTGATTTCCATGAGTGCAAAATGCCTTTTCCTATCACTTCTCCCTCTGACTTCCTGAGATAACAATTAACTAGTGGAATGATTTGCTTTCAGAGGTTGTGAGTACTCCTCTTTATAAGAAGAGATTGGACCACCATTTGTCTGAAATGGTATAAGGTTTCCTGCTTGAGTAGCGGGTTGGAATAGAAGACCTCCAAGGTTCCTTCCAACTCTTACTCTGTTATTCTGAATACATGGTCAAAATCTCCAACTAGTAATCAAACAATCCCAAGTACATGTTGAGAGAAAATGGCTACAGCAGAGAGGTGGAATTATCTCTTCCCCATGCCTCCGATGGAAGTCCTTATGTCAGAAGCAAGACTATTTCTTTACATTCATACCATTTTGCATAATAGTAAGAAAAAAACTGCAAGATAAGAAAACTCAAGTTCACGTATATTCGACTGAAGATATATTAAAAACAACTTCCTTCACAAAGTGAACCACAACCCACAGAATATTCTTCCCCTCCAGTGGTGCAAAATGGTAGAAAGACAAAACTTCTACACAAGAGTCAGAGTTTGGACACTTCATATCACAAGAGCTCTATATTTTTCACCATCCACATTTTAAGCAGTCAGACAAGTGCAACAATTCTCAGTGAGACAGGATGGTCAAAGACTGAGCTAGCTGATCAGAAAAAGCACATCCACTAAGCCACCTGGACTTGAGGTGCATTTCATCTACTTGCTTATCATTAACAGAAGGAACCATCAGCATTTTTTGCTGCTTACCTTGAATAGTATAAATAAAGCCACCTGCGATCCCCTCCACACCCTGTGTAAATTCATGTGGTAGTGATCCTTCTCCCGCCTATTGTGGATAATTTAAAAAGATAATTAATTAAAATTTATACCACAATATACTGCACTTATTCTATTTAGCCCAATTAATATGATAGAAATATAAATTTGATTGCACTGTCAGAATTCATTTTTAACAATAATTTCTTCCCCCAGAGAGGAGGTGACCCCCACTCTTCCAGTTTTCCAGAATAGCCTTAAGACCTGGCTTTGCCAATTAGCATGGGTATCTAAAAGTATGAGGTAACCCTGGGGATGGCTAGTGCCCATCTGAGGACAACTTCCTAGCTTTTGAATTTTAACCTTGTTAAATTTTACTTGTAAATTTTAACTTGTTTTTAATCCAGTTTCTAAGCTATGCTTTTATCCATGTACTTATATGGCTTTATTATGGTGGTATAAACCACTTAGATGAGGTACATAGTATAGAAATTTAATAAATCGATAAGCACATTTCTTAGTGCTCTGATCATTTATAATTCACGGTTTCTGCCACTAGTATTCCCAAAATTCCTAAAACTTTTAACGGGAGAGGGACATAGGCCACAAGCCAAGGAAATGTCAGGAAAGTTCTATTCTGCAAACAAAACTTGTCAGCTCCCGAGATCCAACATTTTCTCTCTAAAAATGTATGTACCTGCAAACATGTGCATATGTAGGTATACAATGTCACAAAAGATGCATTCTATGATCCTGAAAGCATCATCAAGTAATATGTCAGACACAAGGTATCGTTAAATACTTACATAATGTGTTCATTATAGATTAGCATTATGTGATTTTTACTCCAGCATTAAGACATCCAGAAGTTTTGTCTTATTTTCAATGCTGCTGAAGCAATTTGCTGGAGCAAACAGCAATAATATTGCAATAATGTACAAAATTTATTGTTTATTTTAAATGTTTTGTAACACCTGACATATTTGTAGGGCTTTTAAGCAAACATAGTTTTCTGTTTTGTTCAGAGTCTATGATTCCAACAGCATTTGTGGGCTCCCTGGTTTCCTTAGCCCTTTTCCTTAAAATTAGCAGCTGGTGTCCCAATCCCTGAAACTGGTTGTTTCCATGTTCCACGAGGCTAAAATATCCATGTGGACACAATGGTAAAAAGTGGAAGAAGAGAAAAGTTAGAATGTAACACCAGTTCATCAGTAGTATGTTGAAAATAGCTACTGTCACCAGACAGAAGAGATTATATGGGACAAGATGCAGGACTCAAGAGTACTGAAGTACATGGTACCTTAAGATCATCCTGGAAACTATAAAGTCAATTGTACCTGTAACAAACCTAAATGGTTAATATTTGATTAACAGCCCTTAATAATGGAAAAGAATATAAATGAAGACACTTCCTTTGAGGCAACTCCTTGGGGTGGTAAATGAGTTTTGCCAGAACACCGTATTGTTTGCAAGGTCATCTTAGTTCATTGCAGTTCACATAAAACAGAAGCATAGAGAGAACTGCCACTCCCCTGATGTGAAATAATACGCCATAAATTGCATGAGGAAATAAGCAATGTATATAAAATACCCTGTGCACAAAGCACGCCCATGCAGAAATAATTATTTTCAAGTGCTCCATGTTTGAATCAAAACATGTATGTTTCAGATGTTTTTGTCTGTATGCTGGATTCTTTTTTTTTTTTCTTGAGACAGACCAAAACACAATTGTTTCAGACAGTAGTGGTGAAAGATAATAGAAGAAAAATCTCAAGACCGCAGGGTTTTCTTGGTGGTAGCATATATACTGACATTGACAACAGAGGAAGGCGCTGGGAAGCTCAGGAAGCAAGTCGGCCAACGGAATAGTTCTCATTGGGACATCAGGGGCAGAAATTGGGGGGGGGAGGTAGGCCAGCTGGTGGAATGTGCCATGTTCGGAATCTGTCCTTTCCTGCTGTGACCACTGCAGTAAGGGGCAAGTGCGCCGTAAATGCACTGATGGCAGCAGCTGAAAAGGGGCAAGGAAGGAAGGTTCTGGGAAGATGGCAGGCTAGCAGTCTGGTGGAATATGTTGAGATGGGGGAGGAAGGAGGAATGTATTGGGAAGATAGGGGATGGCCCATAAGCTGCATGGAATGGATGATGCATAATAGGCTCGGCTTCTCAACCTCATAAAATCATACTGAACCAGTCTGGTTTTTGTTTCAGCCAAAATCTGGGACAACTAAAACACTCCAGCTTTTGTTTCAGTTACACTGTGTCCGAGCCCAAATGGTTTGGCAGATTTTCTAGATTACATTGGCTAGTGTCAGAGTTAGAACAAAAGATGTTTTCTATTTTGTACATAGCCTTCGTGGAATTCAAACTTGCAAAGTCTAAACAAAGTTAACTCTGGGTAAAAGAATGATTTTGGATACATAGTTTATATCTATGATTTGTAAAGTACAACTCAAGAGGATCACTGCCTTCTGGTATACAGTGAATTGCAATCTAACTGAAGATATTTTAGGTGATAACTCATGGGTCAACCCAATTATGTTTGTAATTGAGTAAGCATGAATAACAGCGTTCCAAGAACTCCTGCAAACAAAAAGTTGAGGGGGGTGTAATCCACTTTTTTGGATGACATCCAACACTCCAGTAAAGGAGAAACAGCACATGCAGCTGTTTCTCACAGAAGTCATACATGGAGTTTTGAATGGTTACTTTGGTCTCAAATTAGCTGTAGTTATGTAGGGCATCTACATTTGAAAAATAATTTCTTTGTTATTAGTCTCTGCCTTGGGAATGCTTGCAGTCTTTCAAGCATCATGTTCTGGGTTTATGGGAGAAGTCCAATCCCAATAATGGCATTCACTGAATATTTTCATGTACATTTTAGAAATAAAGAATAAAAGGGAATGCATAAAGTGGTGGATAAATGTGGCAAAAACAAGGAAGCCTTGCAAGTTCAAAAGATTGGAGAAGCCAGTAAATAGGGTTGCTGAAACTAGATCCAGCTAGGTTTCTGTTCATTTACTGTATCTCGTGCCTTTAATTTCTTCGGTTTATTATTTCTTATACCTTTTCTATAGTTGGCATACATTGCTTTCCACAAAAGACAACAGCATAATAGTGTATACTATGTATTTTAACAACCTAAAATCCCTACATTCCCCTATTCTACTACATACATATTTATAGAGAACATCTATGTGGTTGCTAGGAGTCCAAAACAACTTGATAGCACATTATCAATCAATTAAATGCATATTTTATATACCAGTATACTGAAATGCATTCTTGCACTTTTATAATGCACTGAAGATGTTACCTAGTTGGGTAATGAAACATCTGCAAGAAAATAACCAAGCTGAGAGCACCAAGAATTCAAAAATGTTACTTTTTTAATGAACATTAACATTCAAAGTGAATAGTAACATATAAAGGAATTACGGTATTTTATTACTATTTTACACTTCATCAAGTTCTAATTTTCTTAAAACCGTTTTGGTCTAATTGTTCAAAAATAGTTCCTGGCTAAAGTATGTCTTGTCCTTCTTAAATTAAGAAAATTTACGTGATTAGTGGCTTTAAATAAAGTACTTGGAGAAAAGCTACAAGTGTTGGCAACATTAGCATTTAATTTCTGGATATATATGTCAACTGTGAATAATCATAACTAACACTGAAAGAGGAATACACATAAAACAATATGGACAGAAGGGAAAATAAAATATTTAAAAATCTGAAACATTTACAAATTTGTTCATTCGAAGAAAAGTTATTTGTTTGTTTAAAAGAAATGGGAATAAAAAGACAGACCGTAATAATTCTGAAGACACCACCGCCATCATTCACCATCACTTTATGAAGATTTCTAGAAACAAGACCTTGCAGATCCTGGCTTTCCCATACAATGGTGCCTTCAAAACTCTGTCAAAACAGCCATCATATACTATTAACGGTGTATCAATATGTGAACACACAAGATAAATGTATTTCAAAAATCTTTTTAAATGCTTTGAAGACAGAATAAATCTAAAGCATTATAATTTAACTTTGATACAGACACAGATATAGACTTGAGCTGTGCAAAGCATTCAAAAGAAATACTTTGCAATGGGTGGGCAGAGTGTGCCAAGCACCTGTCTTCAAAGCAGTGAAGAATCCACATGTTTTGGAAGGCTTCCGCAGCTGCTTTCCTGACTGTATGTATGTAGCCCAGCTGCTTAACTAGCAACCCCCAAAGAAAGTCTTCAAAGCAATTGAGCAAGAATTCCAAACAATATGGCTTCTACAGTGCTTTGCCCAGATTAAGACTCTTTGCAAAGCACCTGTTCTGAATGCTTTCAATAGCCCAAAATATATGCCTAACTAAGCTGGCAGCTGCACATTATATTTTGTAATGAAAAATCAGTGATAAGACAAAGCTTATCATTTGTCCATCATGGTGAATAATTCTTAAGTGGTTAAATAGAATCCTTAAAAAAAAAGTACTACCAACTAGTAAAACACCAGAGTTCTTTTACATGTCTGTCAAAGATACAGACCACTGATCTCTGTGGTTCCTGAAATATTGCAATCTTCAAAAATCAACAAAGAAATCTAGCCACTTTTAGTATGAAAAGGTGACAAATGTTTTGTAAGTACAGTACAAGGCAAAGGATGTAGGCACTTTGATATGTCAGCAAGTGCCTAAGACATTTTAAAATTACAGTTAACTAACCAGGATATGGTAGCCTGATTCATTTAATGCTATGCTTGCGTGATCAGCCCATTAGTAATTAGAGTAATTCCTACTGGAAATGCTAAAATTTCCTTTTGACAAAGCATACATAGAATTTTATCTACACTGGTAAATTTTCATCTAAAACCAGGATATCCTTAATCTTGTAAAGTATAGCTATTTTTTATATAGGCACAAGTTGGTAACCTCATCTATTAGTGCAGAAAAACTATATTGCTATTTTTCTTTATAATAGTTTCAATTTACATTATTCTATATGATACTATTCTATGAATTCTAGGCAGATTACTATAATACATAGTCACCATAAATCCATAAACATATTGGTCCATTCATTAACTAAATGCTGACAACTGTATATGAGATTTTCCTCTAAAAAGACTGTGTAGAAAATCAGAGGTTTTTTCCTAAATGACAGAAGGGAATGAACTATTATAACCTCAAGAGCAAGCTAGTCCACAAAGAAGACTATCCTCCAGGCCCAGCTTCTAATCTCCAGTGAGAATGGAAACCAGAGCATTCTCCTTGGCTTGCATGTATTGGGCAAAAAAATTCTACCTGGAGTAGACAGTCACAAAGGTAACAAGGACCCAAATCATAAAAGGTTTTGTAAGTAATAACTAATACTTTGAATTAAATTTGGAAGCCAATTAACAACATAGCTCCTATAAAATCAGTGTCATTCTGATGTATCAGATCAACCAGCTGCTGGGAAGGGAGTTGCATTCTCCCCAATCTTGGTGTTGAAGCTGATGCAAAATGCAAAACTACTCCATCGTCACTCAATCAGATATTAGTAATGTATGTTATGTCTATTCTCTCTTCCATCACTAAGGGGCAAGATCTAACCACTCAGAGATCTGTAAGTGTTATGCCAAATTGAGGCCATGGCTTCTAGAAATCCAGTATCTTAAGGCCCCAGAAAGAAATTTGAAAAGAACTCGGTAAAGAACTTTGTAAGCTGAGAAGCTCATGGCTTCTGCTATGTTCTTGCTTGGTAATGTGTTCCCAAGGTTTTTTTTTTAAAGAGACACAGTATTCCATTATAAAGTACAGTAGCAAAAAGAAAAAAAGAGAGAAACAAACCATCTATCATGTTCCCAAGTGCATGGCACACTAGTCTCATTCATAATATATGCATTCATGGCATGGTTACTTGTACCATGGCTTATACAATTAACTTGATTTTTCCAGGTATTCGCACAACACTGAAAATGCAGCGAGCCAAATTGATTCCATTGTTGCTAGGATTTAAGGCAATTAATGCACATTAAAGAGGAACAGCTGACAGAAATGACCCCAAACTAATTTATAGCTAGATTTAGTTAGATAACTCTCTTTCATTTCATAATAGATACCTCTCTTCTGATCTGCAGCTTGATCAACAAAATAAAATGCTGAGCATTTTCACAGGGGCAACTGCTACTAATTTATGTTTTAACTAGAAGCAGTGAGACTGACACCTTCACATTAATAAATGAATTACATCATAGGCTTTTGCAGAGTTGAACATATTCCACAAGATTCATATATCAATTGTATATACATTACTAGGAAATAGGTACTAAATAGAAAATGCAGAAAGATAATGCAGTAAGCATTAATGATAACAATGTATGACAGTCATAGTTAGAGCCCGAATATATTCAGAATAGTATTCAGACCCCCAGAATAGCAGTAACATTTTACAATAATCAATGTATCAGTATTAGAAATGCTGACTCAGCTCTAGGTTCCAATGAATTAAGTGGATGTACTTTCAGATAAATATGCAGAAAAAGTGCAGCTTTATTTGACTACTATCCAACTAGGATAGTAGTCAAATACTACTGGATAGATAGGTACTATCCAACTAGGCCTGTCTTCTGATAACTGAAAGAACAAATGCCCTTCATTTTGACATGTCTTTAGAAACATATACTTTAAAAGATGGTTCTCACACTAATAATGCAGCTAACATCTATGGTGTAAATTAGAGTTCCCCAACCTTTCCAGCTTTGTGGACTGACGGGGGTGAGGGTGGTGAAGGAGAGGAGATGTTTCCATACGAGCGGCGCACATGCATGTGCAAATGCACATATGCGTGTACATCCTCGCCCGCCACTTCTGGTTCCAAATGGCTCAAGGCTAGGTAGTGGGCCAGGGCCCGGAGTTGGGGACCCCTGATGTAAACAACACCAAGGGGCAAACTACTTTAGTTTATCAAAAAGTGCAGGAGAAATAAAGCCAGAATCTTAAGACTATGAACTGTCTGTATATACTATATTTTCGGAGTATAAGACGCACGGGAGTATAAAACACACTTTAATTTTTGGGGAGGAAAATAAGAAAAAAGCTGGTTGGCAGGTGGATCAGCCTCCCAGAATATCCCCAATCAGCTGTTCCCAGAGGTGAATTTTAGCAACAGGTTGGTTGGTTGTGAACTCTGTGCCTTGCTTTTTTTTTTGCTTTTTTTTCTGCCTTTGAAACTTCTGAAACTTTCAGAAAAAACTTTTTTTTTGGCCTCTGAAAGCCTCCAAAACAGAGCTTCAGAAAAAAAGCCTCTAAAGCTCTGTTTCTGAGGCTTTTTTTCTGAAGCTTTGTTTGGAGGCTTTTTTTCTGAAGCTTCGTTTCTGATGCTTTTTTCAGCCTCTGAAACCTCCATTTGAGAAGCTGGGCAGGCTACATTCGGAGTATAAGATGCACCTAGATTTTCACCCTCTTTTTTGGGGGGGAAAGGTGCATCTCATACTCTGAAAAATATGGTAACTGAATTCAACCTTTTTAAAATGTGAAGATAATTACTTCTTCTCTGATTCTGTATTTAGGGAGATCTGCCAGTCTTTCACTGACTTTCCAATGATAGCTCTGACTATGTATATCCATCCTGCCTGCCCAGCCGCCTACTTCCTCTTTTTCTTTCCTCCACCTGGCTAAGGATATTTTCCCTAGTCCACCTTATACTCGCATCATAATCGTAAAGCATATGAGTTTCTTCTTGATCATCATTTTAAATTAATCAGCCTTATTTTTTGCAGTTCGTGACTCTTGCAGTTCAATGGACTCTTTAAGTCCATTAATTCAAAGACATTTATCTTCTTTCTTTCACTTGAGTCCATATTTCTTCACACTCAGCTCTCACATTAGTTTCTAGTTCATTGTAAAGAATCTTGAAAAGACTAATCCAGTGTTCTGGCATACCATTATCTCATTGCTCATTTTGGCATAATTGATACAATCTAAGGCCTTGTTATAGTCAATAAAGCAAAGTTAAACCACCTTATCAAAGGACCAACTTATGTATATACTTCAAAAAGGCATACTTCAATAATATGACTTTTAAAAATGTCCAGCAGCACAATATCTGTTCTTGTTCCATTTATAAACACATTAAAGCCCAAAGAGTCACAAACAAATCAATATGTCTTTAAACTACTCTCTTATGGGATCTATTTCTACAATTATTTATTTTGGCAGTAATATAAATCAATCTGAAGTTTCCAAACACTGAAGCTTATTAATCTTCCTTTCAGTGACACCTTTAAAAGCATGAAAAAAATCAGTAGATGGACAAACCTCACCTTTATTTTCAACAAACTATTGTTGAAATAGCTGTCCACATTATATACTATTATCATATTATCCAGGAACTAACAGGTTCAAAGGGATAAATCAATATCTAATCCAATACAAATAATATTAATAATGTAAAGTCAATATTTTAGAACATTTTTAGAAAATCCATATTTTGATTCAGGAAAGGGTTCTAATTTATATAATGGAATGGGCCAGTTTTTAGAGGCAGGTGAACCTAGGAGATGGGGGGGGGGTGGAGAATGTCAGGGATGCTGATGAGAACTCTAGTATGTCTCTTCTTAAGAAGGCCCAGACAATTATTGTATCGACCAGTCTTCAACCTCCACTTTTGTAAGAAATTTATTGAAAAGGTGTTGGGGTTCAACTACACAAAACTATAGAAAAGATTATCTGGATTCTTTTCAATCAGAGTTTAGATCCAGGCAGGGGGTGGAACCAATCACTCTTGTCAATTAATATTGATGAGACTTAGACAGATAATGCAATGTTCCTCATCCTGCTGGTTTTCTCAGTAGCTTTTATTATTGTCAACCATGATATCCTTTTAAACCAGGGGTGTCAAACTCGCGGTGTCACGCTGTCATCACTTGATGTATCGTGATTTTTTTCCCCTTTGCTAAACTGGGGCTGGGCGTGGCCAGCACATGACGCATCTAGCCCGCAGGCCGCAAGTTTGACACCCCTGTTCTAAACCGTCTGCAAGGGTTGGGGTTGCAGGCACCATTCTGCAGAATGTTGTTTGTCCTTTTATGAGAGGGCCATTCCATTCGATGCATGAGGGAGATGAGCGATCAAGCCCTTTGGCACTGTAGTATGAAATGCCCCAGAGCTTTGACCCCACCCCCCACCCCCGTCCCTTTATTTTATTTAATACCTACATGAAAACTCTTGGAGAGTATATTATTTGAATGTTTGATGTATACAATAAATTATCTTCCATAATCAGATGATATCCAACACTGCAACTCTACCCTAGGCTGAATAGCAAATAGTGAAAGTCTTGACCCAGTGTATGGAGGTTATAAGGGTATAGATTGGAAGAACAGGTTAAGATTTAACTCAAATAAGGCAAGGAAGCTATTAATATAGAAACCAAGATGCTGCAGTTCCAACATTAACTCTTAATGGAGCTAGGCTTCCCAAAAAGGATCTGATACATAATCTGAGGATTCTTCTGAGCTCACAACTCCTGCTATGTCAGCAGATAGAAGCTATGAGCAGGAGACTCACTGCCCACCTTTGGCTGGTGTACCAGTTGTGTGTGTCCCTGAAACAGGAGGCACTGACAATAAGTCATTCATTTCCTCACCACCTCCCGACCAGACTATTTATAAGTCAATCTACATAAGTCTTCCTTGAAGAGCACCTAGAAGCCACTGTTAGCACAGAATGCACATTAATGCTCCCATACAATACCTATATTGAGATAGCTACAGTAGCTGCCAGTTTGATACTAGGTGCATTTCCAGGTGTGGTAGTAATTTATAAAACTGTGCATGGCTTGGGTATTCATTTGCTTTAAATAGAGTCTGCCTGCCCAAGATCTGCAAGTAGATAGTAGTAGATGTTAAGAGCCCCCAGAGGTGTTATGGGAAGGGGCCTTGGAGGTGAGCAATTTTTTTTTCCTGTGATACCAACTATCCTCTTTGCACAGCATCCTTCTATTAACATCTGGAAAGCTGCTGAAAACCAGGTTGTTTAAGCAGGCATAGAGTGGCTGTTGAGTCCCAAAGGTGCTTTTTTCAAGAGGCAACTAGACTTTTTGGATGACTGAGAACCTCCATAAAGGTAAAGGTTCCCCTTGCACGTATGTACTAGTCGTTCCCGACTCTAGCGGGCGGTGCTCATCTCCGTTTCAAAGCTGAAGAGCCAGCGCTGTCCGAAGACGTCTCCGTGGTCATGTGGCCGGCATGACTAAATGCCAAAGGTGCACAGAACACTGTTACCTTCCCACCAAAGATGTTCCCTATTTTTCTACTTGCATTTTTTTACATGCTTTTGAACTGCTAGGTTGGCAGAAGTTGGGACAAGTAACGGGAGCTTATCCCATTATGCGGCATTAGGGATTTGAACTGCTGAACTGCCGACTGCTGAGAACCTCCATAGACAGCGACTATGAACAAAGTCTTACCTAGAATATGCATGAGTGCTGCTTTTTATAGTTTTGTGTTTTTTATAGTTGTGGTTATATTATGATAGTTATAGTTGTTGTTTTTTTATATTTTTCTCAGTTGTTAGATCATATTATTTGCTTAGACTCACTTGAAGTATAATAGAGGGAGCATCTATAAAATAAGAATAAAATGGGCATTTAAATGTTTTTGCTAAAACTATTAAGTGTCTGAAAATTATGGCAAATGTAACTTTTGTATTATTGTATTTAAAAACAATAATGTCACTAACGTCTAATTAATGGACAAGCATTTAATTAGCATTCATTGTGCCCCTAAATTAACAACTTAGAAATGTCTTAATCCAACAACATTGCTGTCTGAAGCCACAATCCTCTCTTCCATCCCTAATCTCAGAATTTGAATAGCTGCCTGGCAGTAAGTGCTATAGCACAAACTGAACAGAAACATTCTCTTCCAAACAAAGCTCTTTGTGTTTGTAGTTAATGATATTCAGTCGGCAGCATTTTCTCAACATATGAAAACCTAATTTCACTAAAAATAATGTTGCCATTCTCTGAAACCAGGACAAATGTTTTAAAGTTCACTTTTGCTAAAGTAAATACTTCAAATGTCCTGGAGTATAATTCTTACTAAATTCCAAACAGACACGCCTAATCAGAGATTATAGGATTTATAACCTATAATGGAAAACCCTTCATTGCTTATTCTTGTGGCCTGATCTTACTTTTCTCCTCTGGTAAATCTGCAAGGACAACAGAGTTTTTAATTCCACTTTTACATTAACAAAACAAAACCCATTAAGTCTAAGCCCAGTGGCATGTATTTACCTTAAACTATTACTTATTAAAGTAAGCCAGATAAAACAATGGTTCATGCTGGATAATTCTGTCTTGTTCACTGGTCATAGCTTAAATCAGGTGGGGTCAATTTGTCATTTCTAAGTGCTATCTAGCGTCATGCCACTTAAATTTGGAGGGAAAAAGTACTGCCAGCAGCATTTTTGTTCTTTTTTTATTATTTCAACTTTAAAATAAATGTAATCAGTCTCTGGGAGATCTCAGCACCTAGTCAAACTTGTTAGATCTCAGATCAACATACTTTTTCTACACACATTTTTGTTCACTGTTAATGATTTATATACCCCTTAGCAGAATGTTTTTTTAAAAAAAAAAAGAAATCAGCCTCAGAATTAGAGACATGAACTGTTGAAGAGCAACCATCCCAATCGGGAGAAGGGCTGAAGCAGGGAATTGGACTCACTACATAAATGCAAGAGGGAAAGGTATGACCTCTCCGAAATGCCTTTGAGCTTTATCTAGTTTTTCCCAGGTGAAAGCTGCCCGTTTGGGGAGATTCCTGTTTTATGGGCAGGGAACAATAAAGCAGCTAGTTTGAACTCCAAACGTATGGGAATGGTTGTTCATGCCTGAATGAATAAAGTTGGCCAGCTTTACAGAAATCAGGCTTTGAAACAGAATTTTATTCCAGAATTCACAAGTTGTCCTCATTGATCTCGATTCCAAATCTAAACCCATCCGGTTATTTTTCCTGATCTAGTCACTATCTACTGCTTTAAACTTTATAATTCCAGAATGCAATATAATACCTTTTGTTTTCACCTCATGACCAAAACTTATGTAATATTATGCTTCTATACAGGGCCGGATTTAGATGAAAAGAAGCCCTAGGCTATTCCACTTATGAGGCCCTTTCACCTATAGTGAAAGTGTAATTTTAATTTTGCTAACAATTTGAATGTAGGCCCCTCTTGATCTTGAGGCCCTAGGCTGAAGCCTAGTTAGCCTATAGGAAAATCCGGCCCTGCTTCTATACTACATGTGGAAACAAATTCAGGAAATCTTGTATTTAATTTCTATGATGTTATTAAGCTCTTAATAAGTTACTCTTCGAGAGAGATGGTTCAGAAATGTGAAAAATAAATGAATAGTATCAAGAACTTTACATTTCAAAACAAAAAGATGACTAGCAGGTCCTATGCGAGTCCTAAATCCATTTTTTTTAAATTAATTACAACAAAATGCTGAGCAAATATGAATAAATGAAAAAAGAATTGAGAAAGAATCAATGTACAGTATGCCCCATAAATACACTGCACATACCTCTGGCAGAATGAACTGTTCTACAGGTTTGTACCAAAGTCTGCTCACTTGTACTCCACAACTAGGTGGACTAAAACGAGCGCTGAAGAGTGCCTCCTATGGAAATAATAAGTAACCCGTTTGTGAGCCAGGAAAATCATTCATGAAAAGTCACATCTTCTTGGCCAGTTCATGAAGAAAAAAAAAACCATAACTGGATCTTAAAACAAAGTAAAACATGTAAATCACTTTTATGTATGATGATGCAATTTTGATAAATTCAAGCTTTTTAGTATCCTACTCTTAACAGATACAAAAACGCTACTATGTTGTTGAAAACAGAGATGTTTGAACAACTTGCTTCCAGAAGTTGTAAATGCTCCAACACTGGAAGTTTTTAAGAGATTGGGCAACCATTTGTCTGAGTAGGGGATTGGACTAGAACAGTGGTTCTCAATCTTCCTAATGCCGTGACCCTTTAATACAGTTTCTCATGTTGTGGTGACCCCCAACCATAAAATTATTCCTAAAACCATTGAAAATATGTGTTTTCCGATGGTCTTAGGCGACCCCTGTGAAAGGGTCATTCGACCCCCAAAGGGGTCGCGACCCACAGGTTGAGAACCACTGGACTAGAAGATCTCCAAGGTCCCTTCCAACTCTGTTATTCTGTTAATACATGCTTTAAGAAGTTTCATATGTTTTGGAGACTGTGGCAAAACTTTATTGTCATAGTCAATTTCTCTCACACTGAAATGAACCACGGTCAAAACAAAAATAATTTTGATATTTTAATCTACCTAACAATCATAAACATAACTTTTGGAGGTTTATATGTCTATATAAAAATGCATTAATCCACCCCTGCATTAAAGTAAATTTTTATTACCAGTAGTAATTCAATGTTATTATTTACCAACCTAAATATTAACTTTATCATAATCCATCTTTAATCTCTTTAAAACTAGCACATTCTAGTATATGCAGAAGATTCCTCTACTATTTGTTCTGGAGAAAAAACTGCTCACGCAGCCCAGAAGACTACCACTTCTTACCATATCCAAGTTACAACATAAATAAAAACTCTCTAGAGCAGAGTTCCCCAACCTTTCCAGGTTGATGGCCCAGAGCAGGGCGAGGGGGGATAGTGGGGATGATTTTGTGGGAGGGACAAGCACATGTGCGCATGCATGCATACACAAGCACCTGTGACATTCGTGCAAGTGGAGTCGCAAGCACCGGCAACAACAATCATGAGAGTGGGGCCGCAAGTACCTACGATGGAGCTCACGTGAGTGGGGCCATAAGCGCCTTCAATGAGGCTCGCACGAGTGGGGCCATGTGCACGACCGGCCCTTTACGCAACCCAGTGGTGATTGACCCGCAGCCTAGTAGTGGACCGCAGTTCATAGGTTGAGGACCCCTGCTCTAGAGGGTGATATGCAATGCACTTCTCTGCAAATGCCAGGCATTCACTCCAAGAAAGGAAACATGTTAATCTGTGGACACCTGGTGATAGTGAATTAACATTTCATAGCCATAGAGAAAAAATGTACCAGTGATTAAACCAATTTTCATGTCACACATATCCCTTGGCCATGTTACACAGTAAACATTATTTAGCATTCAAATACAATACTCTTCCCTGTATTAAATCAAAGTTGAATTGCCTCTGAATGCTCAATAATGTTTACTGTGTAACACGGCCAAGGGATAGGTCTGAAATACTTAAAATCTTATCACGCAGTCAGACAGATTACTCATGAACCTCTAAGTATAAACCTACCTATAATGCCCTCTCAAGCTGCTAATTGCAACACTGGTCTATTTTGAAAGCAATTCTGAGATTAAATTCTATGAGAACCTTCCTTAAACCTAAAGTTTCAAATAATTGTGTTAAAAATGTATTATGGTAGCAGAATGCTGACCACAAGATTGAACTTTGATTCACAATGGACTTCTGAAAAGCCATGTAGCAGAATTCATCTGCTACAGCAATGCATTGACAGAACCAGAGCTGAGAAAAAGGTAAAGAATTTCTGCCTTTAATAAGTACTGCAAGGCAAAGGAGTTTATTTAGTATTCATATTGTGGCTGCAATGCTTTACATATCTACTTAGTGGTAAGCCCCACTGAGCTTTGTTGGATTTACTTCTGAAGAAGCTACAAGATCACATTGCTGCTTCATTTAGATTCCATTTTACAATGTGCAAATTTTTGAGATGCAGTTTACAAAAATCCAATAAACAAAGCCATCCATTCAAAAGGACACTCGGAAAATAACAACACTCTTCTATACTTAGTGCAGATGTAAAACAGGGTGACTGAAACCCATGCAGTCTCCAGTTTCCCCTTCACATTGTTTTGGTTAGAAATTGTTGACAAACTGTGGCTCAAGACCTGGAAACTACATTTTATTATTTGCTTTAAAGTTTAAATGTTTTTTTGTTTTTTCAGGTCTGTGTTCTTTCCTTAAAGTGCCATGAGTACTACAGTACAGAATGAAGACTTCAAAAAATTTTGACATAACTACCATATGCTATTTTTAGACTTCTAAATAGCAATAGCACTTAGACTTATATACCGCTTCACAGTGCTTTACAGCCCTCTCTAAGCGGTTTAGAGTCAGCATATCGCCCGACAATCTGGTCCTCAAATGCTCACACACTGTATATAACACACATTACTGATTACTTATCCTTCACTTCACCCCCATTATTCCCACTTATTCTGTTTTAGTAGCTACTTCTGATAGCCCCAATTAAAACAATGATTAAGAAACACACTAGTCAAATGAATTGCAGATAACAGCACCACAAGTCATTTTGCCTGTTCATTCTTCATGAATATCTACTATCTCTTTAATAATCCCTGCTTAGTTCCACACCTAAAGAGACTATGGATTTGGTCTATTCTATTAAAACAATTGCCGGAACATGGCATACCTCTTGTTCTGCTTGGTATAGTTTCACTGTAATGTTTCTCTGGAATCCAACACCCTTAGCATCGTAGAATACCCCAAGACTGGTGATGACAATCGGATAAAGGACTTTGAAATGCACACTGACAACTCTGTCTTCTGAGAGCACCGAAGTATCATCCTCTGGCAAAGTGAAGGCTTCAATTTCTTGATTCAAAACTAATGAAAAAAATTAAGAAAGAGGGCAAACCAAGCTCATCTAAAATAAGAAGAAAGCAATCAAGACTCAGTAACTCTTTCAGACATTCTTATTTTACCATAAAAGGAAACTTTCTATATTTCTATACCATCTAGAGCAGGCACAGTGCATGAACAGCATTTACACCTTAATCCTTAACATAGAACATAGTTTAGAACAGGGGTGTCAAACTTGCAGCCCGCAGGCCAGATGCGTCACACGCTAGCCACACCCACCCATTTTAATGAAGGGGGGAAGTTGCAATACGTCACATGACGATAACGTGTTGTCACGAGTTTGACACCCCTCGTTTAGAACAATATCACATATACTTCAAATATTATTAAAATTAACATGGATAGGTGAGATTGTAGCTTATTTTCTGGCTCATTACAATGAAAAAGTTGTTAATTATCACAACTACTTGAAAATATCAGAGCTCCTATTTAAATGCATTTAACAATACTTCTGTGGATAGGAGCAGCTACAATATTTTCTATGACTGATTATAGGAATGTCATACAATGTATCTTTTTCCCCAAAAAACCTTCAGTTCTTACCTGGATTAGAGATATTTAGAAGTTTGCATGAATAAGGATCTTCTCTATCTTCTACTGGCACATCACATCCATGTATACCGATTATAAACTTCACAAGGACACTAAAATAAGATTAACAACATTTATTTTTTCTTCTATTAGCCCAGTTCTGTTACCTTTTTTTTCAAACAGTAAAACACATGTATGCATGTAAAATTCTAATTATACAGGCTAATTCTGAGAATTTCATCGAAACTATTAAGAAAAACAAGATTTTTCTTGATAAGGCATGTAAGGAAAGGAAAGGAAAGACCATGTAAGCATTCTGTTTAATATAAGTTTTGGGCTCTTATTCAAATGTGCTAAGAATTTCTTAAAATAATTCATTTAAATGAGAACCTATAAATGTTAGATTTGCATCTTCTTGAATGAAGGCAGTAAGAATGATGAATTACCGATGACTTAAAGTTGGATGCTGCTTCAAATGCCTAAACCAAGTATTCCTTATAGCATTCCGCAATCCATCATTGTGTCGTGCAGAGAGTATCCCTACAATAACATCATAATGTTTTGGTTTCCAGTGAGGAAAGAAAGCCAGTAGACCTAAGAAGTATAAATTAAAAATATTTTAGCAGAGAAATAAGGAAACAAGTATGCAGATCAATGTTATAAAAAAAGACATTTTTCAATTATTTGTAAACATTTTAGCCAAATCCATATAAAATGACAAAAAAGATTTTAGAAGAAAATATTTACTAAAATTTAGAATAAGATACTGGAAATAGTTTCACATATCCTGATAACTGAAACATTAATACAAAGAATTGAATATAAATATATAAGAATACAGAATATGATTATATTGTGTGTGTGTGTATTTCCTATATTAAAAAATACTATATTCTCTTCCTTAAAAGATTAATATTTATTTGCTGTATTTTAACCCAAATAGATAAAAAAATTAGATCAGGGATGTCAAACTTGGGGATGTGTCACATGCTGGCCACGCCCATGCCCAGTTTAGCGAAGGGGGGAAAAGTTGTGATATGTCACGTGACGCTGCCGTGAGGACACGAGTTTGACACCACTGAATTAGATGGTAAAACAGATACAGCTTAGATATAATGAAATGATTCTAAAAATGAGAAGCTAAGTTGTTAATACAGTCATATGAGCGATATCCATGCATCATAAATATTACAGGAACATAGGAAACAAGGCTTCCCAGATATTACTGAATTACATTTCCCTTACAGTAGCTTTATCTGGCAATAACAATGGTGAGAAATGCTAGGAAATGTACTTCAGAAGCATCTAGTGAGCCACAGGTTCCCAACCTGCAGATACATACTATATTTAGATATACATAACTATACCCGACTATCATTAAGTACAGTGATTTAGTTTTAACTGTTATGGTTTCATAAATCCAATAAACAAGACAAGTAATTTACATTCCATCATGGATGACAGCATGTATTCATGGTTTATTTTTAATAAATTATTGTATAATGGATATATTCAGATTTATATTTAGCCCTGGCAAAAGATCAGTTTCATCTCATTCTGCTTAATTTGAGAATAAAAAGAATTAAGTGTCAAATCAACTAAATGCCAACTCTGTTTAGAAAAATGACTGCACATAATGTACAAGATATAATTTCAGTTTTAATTTTAGTATGAACTCCAAAAAAAAAAAAATCAACAAATTTTGTGTTTCAGATCTAGTATGGATCTTGATGATCTTCCAACTATGTCTTTTAATAGTACATTTATGAAGATTATCAGTGCTGCCCTCTTTTTAATTCAGAAAAATTGGTGGAAAACACAATTGGATTCCTTTCAACTAATATTTTATCATTCGAAGAAAAAGAAATTATTTGCTGATAAGCTGAAAACCAATGTACAATATGAATAAGAAGATATGTAGTCTGAATTAGTGTTATACACATTTATGTGTTTTCCTTGGAAGCAGCTATGTTAATGGAAACTGCCCGCATTTTATAATTCTTCTTTGTTCTTCAGTGAGAATTCCATCATCTCCAGAAAGACTGATCAATTACTTTATCATCATAATACATTTCTATGGGTGTATTTCATAAAAAGAAAGCAAGCATAACAGAGTTCAATAAAATCAGTATGAAGAATATAAAATGCATAAAAATAGCATTTACTTAAGTTTAATTACCTAAGACAAAGGATTTCGTTTTTCTCTAAATCAATTAAATTAAATCAACAACATGTGAAGTGACGGAAATATCTCAATTTTGCATTCAAAACCATGTGGGGGACCAGACAAGCCTTTCTGAACAGAACATTTCATGGACAAAATGAAACGATCACCCATTCTCTTATAGTCACTCATTTAACTTCAGTCAACAGAGGTATCTAAAGAAGAAATCCCCGAGATGGTCAAAGTATACATGGGGAAATAATTCCTCCAGACACTGTACACTGCCCCCTAATTATTTGGGGCTTTAATAGCAAGAGTCATGCTTTGAAATGCACTCAGAAAGAGAATGGAAAGTAGTGTAGCTTATGAAGAGAAAAACTTGGCAGACGAATTTCTCACTAAATGCACATCTAACTTTCTGGACTGAACTTTGGTCTCTGTCCAGTCATTACTCAATTGGACACTGATTCAGGACATTCACTGTCTCCATTTGAATGAGATGAAATTACAAAAATAACTGAACTTCAGCTATATGCTGAGGATCTCTCAGCCTACATCCTCTGATACCATAATCTCTGCAGCAGTTACATGCAGAATAAAACATGTGAGATAAAACAGAGATCTAGAAAACCCTCAAATATTACCTTCTTACAATTGGTAATTCTTCAGCATAATTATATCAAATTAGACACCTGAACAGAAGCAGAATCACCAAAAAATTATATCTGTAACTTAGATGCCCATTTCAGAAATACACTGTGATTGATGATAAGAATGCTACTGAGAGATTCAGGAGAAGCTAAAAGAGTTTTGTTTCTTTATTGGTAAATGCCGTCCCTGGGGAAATCATGGCTGTTTCTGTCTCAAAACTGCACTTAAATCTGGGCTGAAATGGATCCTGAGAATCAACGTCATCCAAAAATGCCTGGAGTTGAATGTTAATTACTTGAGCATCTTGCTTATGCACCTGCTATTGGAAGAAAGGAGACAGATATTGTTGCTGTAGCTTTGAGAACATTAAATGGAAAATCCCTAAATCCCTGAGAAACTCATTACCAAAAGAGGGCTGTTTTCCTCTCCCCATTCCTAGTCTACAATTGGGGAGAAAATCACAGATTTTCATGATTCTATGTGTGGTCAAGAGAAAGGAATAGGATCCAGTAACTTGCCAAAATCCACAGATGGTAATATATAGCTATTTTTATGTAAGAATTTGTCTTTGGTTCTTTTTTATAGAAATTAATCTAAATAATGAAATGGAACTGGATTCAAATATCACACACTATAGTTTATTCACTATGATTTAAAACACTGATCAGATGAATTTGCACAGCTGCCAAACTATAAACCATAGCTAGTTCACACAACTTCTTAAATCAAAATTGAATGAAATGTATTATTGACACATAATGAGCAAGTCTAGCTGCAAATGCTATACCTGTGTTTTAGCACTGAAACACAAGGGGTTGTTTTTTATGAACAATATGTTTTTATTTCATCATCTGGGATATTTGAAAAAATGTCTGAGAAGACTTTAAACAGATGTGGCAAGTAATAGCTCATGATGCTCAATCACAGAAGCTCTGTCTGTAAATCTTAGTTCCTTAGATTATCTATTTTTCTAGAGACACTTTAAAAAAGAGAGAGAACTTAATTATTCATTATATCTGCTTCATAAGTGGTTTGAGGAATTTGATTTCAATTCCCTAATGCTTCTATTTAATAATCTGTAACAGAAAACTTCAACATGTTTGTGGAGGTCTGTATTTTTTATTAGCTTTCTGCCTTCTACCATTACTCTGGAAGGAGAAATAATAATACTTGACTACAACTCAAGATCTTGAAAAGAAAAGTTGTTTGGCCAAAATAAGAGGAAGATGATATAAACAGATGGTATTTACCCAACAGGAAAATGAAGTTTTCTCCCACATAATACCTGTGAATTGGGGGAGGGGGGAATATAATCTTAAAACTGATAAAAATAAAACAACTATTTTCTATTTCCCCTCTTCTTTTACGAATAACCCTTTGTTATTCTTTTTCTTTGGCTGTTTCTCCCAAAGAAGATAATACTTTGAGAAATTTGTGGGTGCAAAAAAGAATGATTGGTATATATTGATAAGGATAGTTTAGTTTTTTAAATGCAGCTTTTCATTTTATAGCTAATTGAAGTTATTAATTTAAACAATGTATTTTTTTTGTTCTGGCCTTGCCCTTTTTTGGGAGTGAAGCTTCTCGCTAATACACACCCACACACAAGAGATTTGCAAACTTCAAAGTGATTTGAAAGGACAGTTAGGGGACTGCAAACCCAACCACTTTTTAAAACTGCTATATCTTTTTTTCAGGCTTGCGTGAGATCCTAACAGTTGAAATTGTTGAGAAACACTGCTTGGTAGATATTATGCTTTTTAATTTTAAATTATCTTTGATTTTAAAGACAAGGTCATTCATGTATCATTGAAAAAAATTGCAAAAAATTAAATTCAGGCAAAAAGAATGCCCTAACCTTCTCAAAACCTGACTAATTATAACTGCTAGGATTGACAGAAGTCACCCATCACAACACTTAATACATAAGACTCTTAGTGTGACATTTACTAGCTCTTCTTTACCCCAGATAACCACAAGTTTCTCATATATAAGAACACCAGAACTATAGGTTACTCTGGGAAGTGGAAATAATATCCCAGAAAGCAGTAAACATCTCCTTCCCTACAGCTGTCAACAAAACCCTGCCTGAAGGTACCCATGAAATCACCAGAAGCTAAGGTCTGACTTGAAGGAAAGTCTCTATGGAAAGCAATCTAATTTCTTTTCTTTTCTTCTATTTCTCAACTCCTGCTCCATATTTTACTCCACAACAGGAATGAGCAAAAATTATTCATATCTACTGGCAGCTGTATCTAATTTGCAGTAGATTAGCAAGGATTTTTGACCTTAACTGTTTGAAGAATTGCAGCTATGCAAACATATGCCTCCAGCTGGTGGAACTAGTCAAAAAAAGCAACAACAACAAAATTCAAATTTTATCAAGCCCACTCCGTTCTTCAGCATCTGCCATTTCCCCCCCTTACTTTTATCAAGCCTCTCTCCAAACGTTGGGGGACTGCATATCCCAATCCTGCACTTTTTCTCCTACCTGGTGAAAGGGTATCTCCCCCTGATCCAAACCCTCCAAGCTCTTTCCTCCATGAAAGACACCAACATACCCAAAGGTGCTTTTTTTTTTCCCAAGAGGCAACTGGACTTTCTGGTTTTTCTTCGAAGACGTTTCACTTACCATCCAAAAAGCTTCTCCAGCTCTGAAGAAGAAGCTTCTTGGATGAGAAGCGAAACGTCTTCAAAGAAAAACCAAAAAGTCCAGTTGCCTCTTGGGGGGAAAAAAAGCTCCTTTGGGACAACCACGACCTGGATGAATGAGAATCTCCCAAGACACGCAACATACCTCGCGCTTATTCCTCCAAAGCAACCTCGGTTCGCCTGAGAAGGGCTGCTGGCCATTCCCTTCTTCTCGACCGAGATTGAGGAGCTGCCCCACCTCTTCTCGGCTTGCCCTCCAGAGCCCGGGCGACCCTGCCCCACCGCTCGGCTGCAAGGAGGAGGAAACAGCGCTGCCCGCCTCCTCCTCTTATCTCCTGCCCGGTCTTTCCGAAACCGTGAGCAGAACGGACGCCACAACGGCGCCGTGCAAAGGAGGCCCTCCCGCAAGATGCCTCTGCCTGACCCCCTCGCCTCCCCTGCGGGAGGACGGCAAACGTGCAGGCTTGGGTGCGATGCCCGCCCTCCCTCTGCCACTTACCTGCCGGGTGTTGCTTCCCGGGGCCGCTGGCCGGGCAGCTGAGGAGGAGAAGCCAAAGGTGCAGCACGACCCCGACCGCACACGGGCAGAGAAGTACCAACCAATTTCGCATTGGCCGCCGGCCGCTGCCCAGCCGTCGCGGCCTCTCTCGGAGCAGAGACGGGACGGACCCGCAGAGACAGGCAAGGTCTCCTTCGCCTTCCCTCGCTCCGGCACCAGAGACCCTCGCCGGCCCCTCCCGCGCCCGGCCCAAAGCCAGAGTCCCGCCCCGGACCAGGAAAGCGTGTGCGCAAAGCCGGGCCTCCGCACTACAATCCCCACAATGCCTCGCCGCTGAGCGGAAGCGGCTTGACCTTGGCGCGATCCGACAGCGCCTCTCTCTCTCTCTCTCTCTCTCTCTCTCTCTCTCTCTCTCTCTCTCTCTCTCTCTCTCTCTGTGCCCACCTCGCAAGAGGCGAAGGCTGGAGGTGAGCAAAGGAGATCGCCTTCTAGGTGATTTTTTTAAAAAACTCCTGGTGACTCCGTGGAAAGGAGAGAAGAAAGAGGAGGTAGGAAAAGGCCCGCGCGGTGTTTATAACTGCAGGTTATTTTTGTACCTTTCCCCCCCCCTCCACCTTAAATAATAAGAGAGAGAATGAGAGTTCTTCGACGTGAAGGTTAAAAATAGGCACCTAATGGGAAAACTTTTATTTCACACATCTGGCCTTTCCATTTTTACAAAAACACCCTCCCACACACACACACACACACTTCAATTGCTGAACAAATCTTTTTAAAACAAAATTTTGCAACTGAGTAGCATTTGATAAACGAGGTGGGATTCGCCCAATCTTTTGGGAAATGTGACGTTTGCAAAGGGAACTGTCATTTTTGTTGGAACAGGAAGAAATCAAGAACTTGTTCTCAAGTCCCAGTAATCATGCATGAAGATGCCCTGCTTACCATTTTAAAGGAAATATCCTCCGGGTATGGCTTTCATCATGTAACCAGTCCACTAAAAAGGAAACCTGAATGTGCCTGTAGTTGTTCCAGTGTTAAAATAGCATCTTCCTTCTTCTGATAAGGAGCCAAGCCATAAGAACAATCTATTGTCATTGACAGTGTGGATGATGACAAAATCAGGGATGGGATCTGCTCAGATCCTATCAGTCACTTGAGGCTTCTCCCTTCAGTCCATGGCATGGCTCTCCATGGCCATTTTGGCTTCGATTGTTGGGAAAACTGAACATCCAGCTTTTGCAAGAGGTTTAGTCTAGGTCAGGATTGTCAAACTCAAGTCATGGCGGTGTCCCATGACGTATTGGGATTTTTTTTCCCCTTCACTAAACCGGGCGTGGGCATGGCTAGCACATGATACATCTGGCCCACGGGCTGGGAGTTTGACAGCCCTGGTCTAGGTAATGCCTGACCAACACTTTGCAAATGTTCCTTATGTACATAGACATAGCATTTCTTTTGAAGAACACAAGACCACTTTTTTAAAAAATGTGTTCAGAAATTGTTTGATAGAGTTTTAGAACTGACTTTTGGGGGAAAAAAACATGGTCAGTTTAAGCTAGGAAAAGTCAAGCTCTGTCATTGTTAATTTTGGCTCAAATTCTAAGTTTTCTGCTGCTTCAGAAATACAAGGAATATTTTTATTACTTTTGTGAGGAGCAGTGCCACCATGTTGTGTACTACTTGACCTACTTCTGAGTACTATTAGCCATGGCATTTCACTGCCAGCGCTGCCATTGAAGTGGGAGGAAGCATACCCATGCTACTTGCAAACCTCAGGCTGTCACATATCAACTTGAAATATGTAAAAGCTGGGATGTGGTTTATTTATTTATTATTTATTATTGCGATTTATATGCCGCCTTTCTCCCTGGGGACTCAAGGCGGCTTACAAAATGACAATTTCCAATACAAATCACAATGAAATAAAAATTAAAATCAGCAACCCTATTAAAACAATTAAAAATTATAACAGTGTACCCCCAACGGATCAGTTGAGTTGACGGAAGAGCCACGTCTTCAGCTCGCGATGGAAGGAAAGGTCGGGGGCTGTCCTGAGTTCGGTAGGCAATCCATTCCAGAGGGTCGGGGCTCCCACAGAGAATGCTCTCCTCCTAGGGGCCGTCAGCCAACATTGTTTGGCCGATGGTACCCTGAGGAGACCCACTCTGTGAGAGCGCACAGGACGATAGGAGAGCGGCTTAAGATGGTCCTGCAAGTACCCCGGGCCTAAGCCATGAAGGGCTTTATAGGTAAGCACCAGCACCTTGAAATGAATCTGGAACGCCACTGGCAGCCAGTGCAGCTCACGCAGGAGAGGTGTTACACGGGAGTATCTAGACGCCCCCGTAACTACCCGCACGGCTGCATTCTGGACTAGCTGGAGCCTCCGGACGCATCCCAAGGGCAGCCCCATGTAGAGGGTGTTACAGCAGTCCAACCTAGAGGTAACGAGGGTGTGAGTGAGCATGGCAAGGGCATCCCGGTCTAGAAAAGGGCGAAACTGACGCACAAGACGCACCTGTACGAAGGCCCCCCTGGTTACAGCCGTCAGATGGTCATCCAAGGACAGCCGAGAATCCAGGAGGACACCCAAGTTGCGGACCCTGTCGGAGGGAGCAAGAGTCTCTCCCCCGATCACTAAAGATGGAACCTCCAGATCCCAGGATGCCGGCATCCACAGCCACTCAGTCTTGGAAGGGTTGAGTCTAAGTCTCTTCCTCCCCATCCAAACCCGCACCGCTTCCAGGCAGTGGGACATCACGGAAAGGGCATCCCTAGGGTGGTCAGGGGTGGAGATGTAAAGCTGGGTATCATCAGCATATTGATGATACCTCACCCCAAAATCACGAATGATCTCACCCAGTGGTTTCATGTAGACGTTAAAGAGCAGAGGGGAGAGAATCGATCCCTGAGGTACCCCACAAGTGAGAGGCCTCTGGGAGGATCCCTGACCCCCTGCCCAAACAGACTGCAGACGACTAGAGAGATAGGAGGAGAACCACTGTAAAACAGTGCCTCCTAACCCCATCCCCCTGAGCCGTTGCAGCAGGATACCATGGTCGATGGTATCGAAAGCCGCTGAGAGGTCAAGAAGGACCAGGATGGAGGAACAACCCCCATCCCTGGCCCGCCAGAGATCATTTACTAGGGCGACCAATGCCGTTTCCGTGCTGTGACCATGCCTGAAACCGGATTGGTAAGGATCAAGGTAGTCTGTTTCCTCCAGGAATTGAGGGAATTGCTGCGCCACCACGGACTCAACAACCTTTGCTAAAAAGCGAAGGTTGGAGACTGGACTGTAGTTGTTAAGAACGTCAGGATCCAGGCTAGGCTTCTTAAGGAGGGGTCGAACCACCGCCTCTTTGAGTGTAGCGGGGAAGACCCCTTCCTTTAACAAAGCATTGACAACAGCCTGGATCCAGTCTCCAGTGGGTTAATGACAAGTCTGCATTTTCTTTTAGCCCAAAGGGGGACACAAAGTAAAATGGGAGAGAAATCACCTGTGTTCCTCTCAAACTTTCTATCACAAGTGACCTGTCACTAAAACTATTTCTAGACATAGGTCTAGTTCTCTTCTGGGAGACTGTTAAATTGATGTCATAAATAGCTGATATGTTTGTAGAATAGAGGAGGGCCATGGGACCAGGGGTGGGTTCTATTACCTTTACTACCGGTTCGCAACGGGGCCGCATGTGTTGCATGCACAGAAACTTCCTGATGGCATGCGGGGTCGGTGGGGGGAGCCTCGCGCCAGTTTTACTACCGTTTCTTGTGAACCGGTCCAAACCGGGGGCAACCCACCACTGCATGGGACCCAATGACCCAACAGTCATTTAAACACAGGTTTAGTAGTCTTCCAAGGGAACATTAACCCCATGTCTGGAAATAGCTTTTAGGTCACCCATGCAAAGAACTGAAAGATTATGGCTCAATAAGAAAATGCATCTGCTCAATGCAAAAGAAAGTAATCCAGATGGACTGATAATAAATCTTTACAGGGGAGGAAGAATTGAAATTATCCTTTTATTTGTCAAATATTTATGAGTAGGTATATTTATTTATTTATTTATTTATTATTGCGATTTATATGCCGCCATTCTCCCGAGGGACTCAGAGTGGCTTACAAAAACAATATCCAATACAAATCACAATGAAATTAAAATCAACAACCCAATTAAAACAGTTTAAAATTATAGCAATGTACACCCATGGCGGATCAGCTAAGTTGACGAAAGAGCCACGTCTTCAACTGACGATGGAAGGAAAGGAGCTCCGGGGCTGTCCTGAGCTCAGTGGGCAAATCATTCCAGAGGGTCGGGGCTCCCACAGAGAACACTCTCCTCCTGGGGGCCGTCAGCCGACATTGTTTGGCTGAAGGCACCCTGAGGAGGCCCACTCTGTGAGAGCGCACGGGACGGTGGGAGAGCGGTTGGAGGTGGTCCTGCAAGTACCATATGAGGATTTTTGTGCTCGAAAACCGCTGTTTAGAACTTGTTAATTTTTTTGCATGTAAGTGGCATTTATTTTATTGTGATGAATTTGCATTTTATTCTTTTAGAATAATTTCTAAAAGTTTTCCATGATGCGATTAAGAAGAAATAAATTAATCTAAACATTTGAATTAGGGCTGGTACCAGTTGTTTTGATAGCCTGATATTGTTGCTATCTTTCTACCTCTACTACACTACCAGATATTATTTCCAACGTCTGCAGAAAATAAACTCTTTTTTCTTGATATCAAACTCATATTCATGGGGATTTATTTAGATGAGGTATTCCTCTATAATTTATTATTACAGAACAAAACATAACATCAGAGGTGGGTTTCAGCAGGTTCTGACCAGTTCTGGAGAACCGGTAGTGGAAATTTTGAATAGTTCAGAGAACCGGTAGTAAAAATTCTGATTGGCCCCGCCCCCATCTATTCTCTGCCTCCCAAGTCCCAGCTGATCAGGAGGAAATGGGGATTTTGCAGTAACCTTCCCCTGGATTGGGGAAGGAATGGAGATTTTGCAGCATCCTTCCCCCGGAGTGGGGTGGGAATGGAGATTTTACAGTATATTTCCCCTGCCATGCCCACCAAGCGATGTCCACCAAGCCATGCCACGCCCACCAAGCCACACCCACCAAACCGGTAGTAAAAAAATTTGAAACCCACCACTGCATAACATCTATGGTCAGCTGCATATTGACTTAGTCAATAATGTTCCTCACTATATTCATCCACATCCACATTTAACACATCTGTTGTCCTCATGAGCATACACGTTTTCTTCAGTTGATGTATATAAAGAGTAAAATATAACAAGAATAACATTCCACAAGGAGTTATTACTGACTCCTGAGGTCCTAATGGAATTACCTGATGAAATTTGGGGATCATATGCATGATTATAATTTCTTTATCCAGCAGATGGCAGTAATAGTTCAGTTTGCAAATCATCGAAGAAAGATTTTGATAGCTGTAGAATCCTTATTTTGGATAATATTCCTCACCAAATATTCCTCTACCAATAAATCACCAAATAAGAAGTAAATACATATTATATTATGCAGCAGATATTTTAGCTTGCATTTTTATGTAGCTACTGAGGCTAGACAATTATATCATCATCATCATTCCTTTCATATGAAGCACATAGGGCAACAAGCTTCTTCCAATTGTATACTTCAGCCTAAAATAAAATAGCTTTTAAAATGACAATTCCATATATAACTAGACATACTTGATATCCTGTCCCAAATTCTTGCTTTTTATCTGCAGATCGACTGTTATTTTAATACTGGAAACTATTTAAAGCCCAGCCCAGCTTCTCCAGACAGTACATGGCCTTCTCTATCAAAAATCAGACAGCAAAAGTAGATAGCAAAAAAGTCTTAAAAGCTGTTTGCTAAGCTTTTTGAGAATCAAATTTCAGGTCTGCAGAATTTCTGATGCCAATTTAGATACCCTCATGGGGACTGGATTAAGAACACAGCTGAACTAGATTTAGAGGGGAAAATCAGTTGCAGAGAGCCATGGGTGTTAACAAAATGCTTAAAAGTACTACTTGCCAGTTTTCTGCTTTCTGTCCCTTTACAGCGATCAGAATAAAACTGGTTGGTTGAATGCAGGTACTTTTAAATGAATGAATCCTTAGTACATATGTACTTAATTATCCAGTTGTGTGGCAGGGAGTCAAATACCTTCCTGTAATCAATCCAAGCTACATTCAAGTTGCTCTTTTATAATTTTCCAAAATCATCTTGTCAATTAGGGGCTGATCTTATGGCCTTCTGCTGTCTCCTTTCAGCTTGGATGGAAAGATCTTGTTTTCAACTAGATGTTGTTGTATTGCATCAAATACAATGCCAGTTAGTACTGTAATTTGAAAGTTCATGCTAAACAGATTATTATTATTATTATTATTATTATTATTATTATTATCAGTGTTTTTCTTATTTATCTTCTAAAATTATCTCATAACTAAGTCAATATATTGGAATGCTATTAAAAATAAATGCACTTTTAATCTTATAGTTTCTTACTTACATTGGATAGCAAAGAATAAACACTGTGCTTATAATTTCGAAGGATAAACACTCTGCTTATATTTTCAGTGTTCACTATGCCAGTTAGACTGCTATCATTTGGAAAAGCAGAAGTAAATATGTTGCCATGGGAACTGATGCAGCCTTGTTAAAATTAAATCAGTTATGATGTTGAAAGGGTTCCCTAGTTCCCGAGTGTCATAAGCAACTAATATTTTTTTTGCTTTCCAAAACCATATTTAAGTATTGCCTTTTTCCCTTAAATACAAATATAGATTGAATAAATAGTGGATGTAAAGAGATAGCTCTTCCAAATGCATACAGTTCTAGAAACTAAAGCTACTAGTAAAATAAGATTTTACTGTGGTGCAGAAATTTACATTAAGAAGTAGTGTGGTTTTATTGTTATGCTAGGATTGATGATGAAAGAATGAATATGATGAAATACTAATAGTATATTATAGCCCAGTGATGGCTAACCTTTTCTGGACCGAGTGCCCAAAGTGTGCGCTAACCCTAACCTGAACCCCCAAAATGCAATGTGTGCGCCCCCCGCACATGCGCCCCGCCCATGCGTGGCAGAGACCCGACAATCAGCTGGCCAGCAGGAAGCACATGTGCGGCGGAGCTGAACTGGGGCGACCGCTCGTGTGCCCACAGAGAGGGCGCTGCTTGCCACCTGTAGCACGTGTGCCATAAGTTCGCCATCACGGTTATAGCCATTCTGCTTCTCTTTGGAGGTCTTCGTATTTTGTTATTTTCTCCAGTTCTTTCTCTCCTATTCTGCTGTCTCCAGGTTCTGCCATGTCTACTCTCCAGAATCTTTTGTCTTTCTTATCATCAATTGTTAAATCTGGAATGTTATGTGGCAAGTGCTTGTCTGAATTCTGACGTTCCAGAGTACTTTAGCTTCTTCATTTTCATTTGTCAAATTTGTGGTCCCACCAAGTTCTTGCTTGCAGATCTTCCAATGCACCATTGTTGCTACATTGTCATGCCATTCTTTGCAATCTGTCGGTGCAATTTTCTTGCAGAATGAATCTTCTTAAAAGATCTCTCTCTTGACATTAACTTCTCCCAGTCTATCACCATTGACCAGCAAGTGTATCTTCCATTGAGTCATTGATCTTTGCACAAACCTTCTGTTGTTTCTATTGACTCTTGTTATTTCTAGGCACTTGATTATCCAATCTTGGCAGGGAGTTAATGCTGTTGTTTGTGGTCAGTCTGTGCAATCTTCTTGCAGTAACTTATAATTCTGCCTTCAAGGCAGTGTTGACTCCTGGAAACTCTCTGGACAAGTCCTTTCAGTTTTCTTGGCAATATTTCGGAAGTCTCCACAATGGCTAGCCAGACCAATAGGAAGCCTAGTAACATGTTTACTTTTAAATGATTTTCCATTGGTCTGGCTGGCCATTGTGGGAACAAAATAACAAAAGTAATCCTCTAGATTTGTTTGTTTATTCATAAGCATCACAATTAAAATAAGATATAATCCATGACATAACATTTAAAATATAAAATACAAGATTAAAATATGTACATATTAAACAGATCTTGCCCAGATCTTAATCTCTAAGTGACTTTGCATTATGGCTTGTTTATACACACTCCATACCCATAATTTTGGAACAGCTTTCACTTTGTATCACTCAAATTTAGTTGTCTCCCTCCAACTTAATCTTAATCCAGTTTCTTTCTCACTAAAGGAGCTATCAGTCAACCCCTCTGTTTGTCTCCAACCTTCCTTTTCCTACTGTAAATTGTTGAGGAGGTAGTTGACTCCTGGTTGTCCCTGATCTCTCCATGGCTTTCAGTGCCATTGAACATACTGTTGTTCTGGACATTTTAATTGGGGACAAAACTTTGCTTTGGTTCTCTTCCTTCCTTTGGGATCAGTTCTAATTGATGTTAACAAAGGGGGGGGAATTAAGCCCACATCCCCTTTTTCATGAAGGTCTTCTGGATTCAACAACACTCTCCCCACTCTTATTTAACCTACGCATGAACCCATTGGATAAGGTCATCTGTCAGAATAGGTAGTTCTGCCTTGGGTTGTGGAGATTCTGCTTCTATGTCTGTGTGGGCTCCAACTCAATCAAGCAGGACTGAATGGTTTTGGATTTTAGGGTGTCCAGAGATCTGGACTGTAGATCTTCTGTGTATAGTTCTGGATGGAGTTGTGTTGCCTCACACAGAACCAATGTACAATTTGGGGGTTCTCCTAGACTCATGGAGTTGGTGGTGGCCACGGCCAGATGGGCTTTTCTACAATTTCATGTTGTGCACTAATTGTCTCCTTTCCTGGATCAAGAGGAACTGTGTATGGTCACTCATTCTTCTTTCATCTCCCAACTAGATTGGAATGCAACATATTCTAAATGGAGCTCTCCTTTCTTCAAAGGAAAGCTACAATTGGCAGCATGAGCTACATTATCTGTATCTGCCTTTTAAACTGCACTAGTTCCCAACAGGTTTTGAGGTGTATTCAGGGTGCTGTTAGTACCTATAAAGCTCTTCATGGCATAGAGTCAGGATATTTCAATGACCACCTTCCTCCAATTGACTCTTACCTGCCCCATCACATCTGGCAAAATATGCATACTCTGGGTCTTGTTGATCAGGAAACATGTCTTTTCTATCACAGTGTCAGCCAGGGGTGAAATCCAGCAGGTTCTGATAGGTTCTGGAGAACCAGTAGCGGAAATTTTGAGTAGTTCGGAGAACCGGCAAATACTACCTCTGGCTGGCCCCAGAGTGGGGTGGGAATGGAGATTTTGCAGTATCCTTCCCCTGCCATGCCCACCAAGCCACGCCCACAGAACCGGTAGTAAAAAAAATTGGAATTCACCACTGGTGTCAGCCCTTTGAAACACCATTCCTCCTGAGATTAGGTCCCTAAACTTGCTGCACTTCTGGATTGACTTTTCTTTTAGACATAGGATTTCAGAAATGGTGAAGCTTGTGAATTTATGAATTTGTTGTTTGCCCAATTATCTTTGCTGCCCATTTTTTTTTCTTTTTGTTATGTTTTTATTTTATTTTTTTGTTTTGGTGTTTTATTGTGTTAGTTGCCCAGAGATGGCAGCCATACAAATCCAATAAATCCAATAAATAAATGAATAAATCCAATCGAGTGCTCAATTTTGGGCTGAGGTTTTAAGCATAAATTTATATGCAAATTAGTTGCATTTTAAAATGTTTCAAAACTAAAAAAAAACCGTGTGCTTAATATACAAATAAGATTGCCCATATTTAGAGTATTAAAATACAGCATACCTACTTGGGATCAGAAACAGATTGAAAAATAACTATTTCACGAAGTCATTCAGTGAATGTATGGCATTAGTGGAATTTTAACCCCAGGTTACAAATAGTTTGTATTACTCCAATAGACAAATAAATTACTAGAAATACAATCCCAAATTAAAAGTAACTTTTATTAAAATATTCAAGTAAGGAGAATGATCAACAGTACATTTTATCATACAACATATATCAAATGAACTATATAATTGATTTTAGACAAGCTTTTACCAGCATAGACTTGAGATTTTTTTTTTAAAGATAAGAGCCAATATAAAGACTATAGAAATCTATGTTACTTAGTACACACTCAACTGTACTAGAAATCTGTATTTAGCATATTACAAAGGGTAGAGGTATATAATTTGAAATATTAAGGAACATATCAAGATGACATCCTTTGCTGCAGGCTGCATAGTTTATAGTATGAAATGGGAATCTACCCAGAGGAACGATAATGTGTTAAATTTTAAGAAATGATATTTTATTTGAACTGGACTCCACACTATGCCAGTTTGACCTATGGAATGAAATCAGTATGGTCTTTATTTGGCCTGCAGGTTTTTCATGTGCTGGTACTATTATTAGAATGATTATTAGTAGTGCTAGTACCTGCTGCAATTAGCATACTGCAGTACAAAAAAGAAGAAGAGTAACATCTTAATGGTAAAGAACACGTTTTAGATTTTAAAAGTGCTAAATTAAATCCTTGGCATCTCAGTTGGGCCTAAGTAGGCTCCTGTTCAAAACCTGAAAGTGCTGCCCATCAGTACAGATAATTCCAAGTAAGTTGACTAATTGTTTGACTTGGTATAAGGCAGCTAATTGGGAAGCTTTGATTTAACTTTAATATTCATAATTCAAACATTCATCAAGCACATTCTCTTCTGAAATTCCACTTTTTACATGGAAATAAAATAGTTAAGAAATTGGTGGTGCGTATTGCTCATCATAGTTTTTCAGTCCCTCTGAAAGACAGCCTGGGTTGGCACACAACACACCAGACTAAAAGACAATTGGCCAATTTGTGACTCAGTGTGTTGTGCAAATCTAACCTGTATGGTTGATTTATGATTCACTGTGTGTTCCGTCAGGCAATTTGGTTAATTCATAAGCCATTATTATATAAGCTATGGCTAGTCTACTGTGCAAACAAGCCAAAGACAGTTCATGAAATTTAACCAACAAAATCTAATTATCACATATTTAACAACAAATAGGATTCTTTTATTACAAAACACAAATAGAGAACAATAGAAATGTTGAACACATACCACTGATAGAAAAATTGACATTAAAAACCTTCACTTAAAATGTATTAACTTAGAATATATTGTGTTCTAGAAAGGATTACTTTTAGACTAAATTACTACATGGGAGAAAACTTGAGGAAAAGCATGCACCATCAGTAATGTATTTTCACAGATAACATTTTTAATTGCAGAGTGAATCATAGGATAGTACATAAGAGCTTCTTCTCCCGGAAGGGATTTTCAGATGCAGGCACCGGTATAATAAGGGGATCTTCTCCCATATGAGCATCACAATATGCCAATAAATCAGCAGCTGCCTTGGATACCTAGGAGCATTTTAAAAAGAAGAAGAAAAAGAACAAAAGAAAAATGGGGGAAGGGTTATCTAAGTATTATTACTATTGCAACAGTGTTAATAGATTGATCCAAGCAGTTAGAATATTTTCTGTGTAGTCCTTTATACCAGGGGTCTCCAACCTTGGCAACTTTAAGACTTGTGGACTTCAACTCCCAGAATTCCCCAGCCAGCAAAGTCTTAAAGTTGCCAAGGTTGGAGACCCCTGCTTTATACCATAGCTGGGGAAACAGTTGCCCCAGACTTGCACGTGAGTTTTGAAAGCTTTGTGTGTATCGCCCAGCCTTTCAACAAAATTCTCTGTATTATAATTTTGAATAAGGCAGAAACACAAAAGTATTAGGTATATAAGCAGTAATCATATAATTAAACAATTTAATGTTAAATTATTTTAAAGCTTTTGCCTTGCCACATCAGATTTTTTTTGAGGATAGGATTTTCACACCATGCATACATATCAGACTATAGTTCAGTATGTAATTTATTAATCTCTCTGAAATTATATTAAATTCCTAAAAATAGTACATATATGTGACAGATCTGCATCATGCAGAAACGTTATCACAAGTTGTATTGTCCAAACAGAGCAGATTGTTCTATCACCAACCATAAGTCATTCCAAAGAACGAAGTCAATGCTATAAGGAAGCCATGTGAAATGTTGCAGCAGAGCTGGCCAGCAAAATGCACCAAAACCAAGCATTTTTTTTAATTATTATTCATATGTAGCTCCTATACATGTTTTGTTTTTAGTCTATGATAATGTACCAAATGGTACATTCTGGCACAAGTACAAACGTGCAGGAAAAAAGGAAAAGCTCAATTAGATTTGTCAGTTATTTTTGTGCTAACGGATTGTAAAATAGTAACAGAAAGGAAAACAAGGAAAAATTAGATTAGAAATTTATGTAAGGAAACTAAATGTTGGAATATGTGTCCTTCCCCAAGCAATGTAACTTGGAATCAACAATTTCTGATAAATTGGTTTCCAGATCACAATCCAAACAAGGTAACTACATTAAACCAATAGTTGATTGAATCTCCTTTTGTTTATTATAGATGAATATTACCACAAATTCTACCTCGGAAGGTTGTTACCAGATATTTATGATTTAAGACAAAGTTAGCAATCTCTGAAAGAACTAGAGAATGTTATCATTACATTTCAGAGTAAAGAAGGTGATTAAAAACAGCCCAAGTTAGAATATAATCCTGTTAGATACCCTATAATTATAAGATTCAGTGACAAGACAAAATGCTGCAATTACTACAGTCACCTTCCATGAAAAGACAGACATAATTACTGTTCATGCAATGACACCCACTCTGCTTTTGCTTTGTATCTAAAATGAGCACATCCACAAACATCTCGCTAATGCCAGTGTTGATTTCACAACACTATTTTAGAAATAATTAACAATTCCATCTTTAAAGGAGAATGGGAAAAGCACAATAGCTGCTGTATGCAATTGTTCACAGTGCTACTTATGTTAAAAAATCAGTGTTTCTTGACTGGACGTCAGCAGCATAGTTTCGTTATTCTAAAAGGTATCTGCAAACTTTAGTTATACCATACAAATTTCTTCTACCAATATTGTCTCTAACTTTTTCAATTTCACTGTTTTATTTTTAAAAAAGGAATTTTCTTTAATTAAAGTCTAATTTTTTAGTATATTTCATTCGCTATTCTGAATATTTTAAGAGTTTAATTTATCAGTTCCTATTTGGATAATCGGGTCTTTGCATATTAATTTCAAATATACACAAGTCTCTTGTTAATATAAATATTGATTACATCAAGAAGCCTCTCACGTTTTTTTTTATTTTTGCTGAATTGAAAAACTATTATCACACTCTGAGAATAAACCAAAATATTAAACTTTACAATATTTTGAAATCATTGTAATAGCTTCTTAAAGTTATTAGCTGTTCAAAACAAAGGATACAATAGTTAAATTAGAGGCATTATGGTTTACTTATTAGCTTGGTATACATATTAGCTATGTAAATAAGCTCTATATACTAAGAAACATCTATATATTTCTCAGCTTAGTAATCAAAATCTTATTATCTGAACATACCATGAGCATGCATATGGTTTCCAGATGTGTGATCATCCAAGTAGTATATAAAATTGAACCTGTTTAGCTTTAAGAATAAAACTAGATTAGATAACGTTCAACTTCTGGAAGAGAAGAAATGGTGGCCAATAAACAGAATTAAAACCCCAATCTCTCTGTTTTCTTTTCCAGTTGTTAGATCTAATCTCTCTGCTCTTTGCATGCATGTTCTTCATATATCTTCACTGAATACAAAGAGCTATGCTTGGCTACTAGCCTAAAATGTAGAAAACTAAGTTTTGTGGTTTTTTATGTCAACAGTAATGGTTTAGAATATTATACAAAGCCAGCCAATGGGGTCTTTTCAGTAAACAATGGTTATATAAACCATAGCTAAATACATGGACTTGAGTATGAACTCAATTTTATAAGGCAGTAACAGTGTTTACCAATGGCATAAAAGATTGTATATAACATCATAAAGCAATATAATTAATTGTCCCTATCCTCAGCATCAGCTTTTTCAAAATGTCAATTTAAATGTATCATTCAGAATGTTTTGTATTTATGGAAATGAGTCCTCTCTGTTTATGCATGTGCAAAAATATATTAATGTTTATGTGGGAATGTTATTTGAGAAAATAATAAAAGTTAATTATTTTACAATGTATGTGTTTCATTTCCAAAGAGAAGTAAATGTGTATAAATTTGTTTTACTTATTCATGAATGTAAAAAATCACAATCTAAAATATTCAAGCCAAAAATTTTCATGTGCAGTAATTTCAAATTTCAAACCAGAGAAAAATCTGCTTAGGCAGTGTTTTCAGAGAATGAGGTCTTTGAGAAACAACTTTAGTACTGTAATTGACAGTGTTGTCAATTACATAGTGTTGTCCTCTGTCCCCAGGTGTTCTGGGGAGAGTTTAAACTTCACAGAATTGTCACTGAGCCAACTTGTAACAACATTTAATTAATTTTATAAGCCAAGATGTTCTCTGTTCTGTATTGTGGACAGAAAATTTAAGAAATGTCAATAGCTTTAAAACACTTCTAAATACTGCTGTGTTCACTCAAGTACAACAAAATTGCACTCTGTTAGGATGTATCACATCTAACATTCCACAAATCTTCAAACTCCAGTTACAATGGATATAATCCACTTTTTCCCTAAGTTAAAATGAGAGAGAGTCTTTTCTCAAGAGAAAAAAAATGTATCAACAAACTAAGTTACAAAGCTGCTCAGGAAATAATTCAAGGTTAATCTGATCCTTCACGTGCAATTAACTTTTAAGCATAAATGCTGTACCCTACAAGTAATAGCAATATGCCCTAATTTCAGCATAACCTAAACATGTATATTTAGGCAACTTGAGTAAATTCCAACATTATCCAAATGAATTTACATTTGAACAGTAGGACTTTTCTCTCTTTAATTCCACAGTACTGACCTTAGCCTCATTCTATCATGAGAATACTCCAAGGTTTCTGCATCAGATTTTGAGAATCCAGTGGGTTCTAGGAGAAAAAATATCTACCCCTTTTTTCTGCAATAGACACTGATCCATAAACAGTTACGGCTTCCTAATAACAAATATCACAGGATAATATCTGTAGGAGTTACACTGAGAACCAGAGAGTACCAAGGAAGGAATAATCCTTGTTGTGTCCATTGCCACCCAACTCCCTGCCTGAGACATGCAAAGCAGTTGTCCCTTAAGCTATGAGAAAACTGGTGATGATGGGAAAGCTACAGATTTAAACTGCGCTGGACAAAAGGGGAAATTGCACTCTCATATTAACAGATGGCAAACAACTAGCTTCAGCCTAATATGGATGCCAGTGTGCCATGAAAATTCTTATCTAGCTACGCTGTGTTGAAAATCTGAGTAGCTTCTGTAGAGTTCTAACCAGTGGGTGGTTAGAATTTGTAAATATGGTTACAAGTTCAAATTTACCTTTATCCTATCCAGATATGCTTCCATTTTTAACTGCTCCACTGCTTTTCTTGCTTGAGATATACTTGTTGTACTGTTATTAGGCATTATCTCCTTCATTCTGATTTTCCTAGATCAATAAAAATGAGAGCATTACAAATTGTTTATTTTCAAAAGATAAACCATTCTAAGAATAGATATATTTTTCTAGCTCCAATTTTTTCGTAGATATTTCTTTCATTTCACTGATCAATCCTAATTCAATTGCCAGTATGGAATTTTATCTCTACAATCTTGCCCAAGGCTTTTCAATATATTCAGTATCAAGTTACCTAATAATAACCTGTCATATTTAATACATAATTAAATCATTTATTAGAGCAGGAGAGATCAGTTTTGGGCAACTCCCTAAATTGAGAATGAGTAAAGGCTGCATTGGCAGAGCAGAATCATAAGGGACAGGAAAATCAGGGGTTTCCCTCCCTAATTATATGGACAAGGGAGGTTGGGTTTTTTATTTTGCTTTGTTTTCTTTAATTGGCCTATTTCTGCGTTTCCTGCTTAAAAATATCAGGAAACTTCATATCCTCAGTGATAATAATACCACTGATTTTCATCTGTCAGTTTTAGGGCTTCTAGGATTTCAAAAATGCTTATGGGGGGCCACAAGTTACCCATTGCTGCATAATAGCTTTGGAGAGAAAGGAAAAAAGAGAAAAACTAATCGTGTATCTTAGTTACTCAAAACCTGGATTGGTTTTACAAATCAGGGAACTCTGCATTTGTCTGTCAAGTGAAATTTCAGCCTTTGAAAAACACTGATATTTGTTTCTTTATTTTAAAGAATTGCAGGCCAGATTTAAGGATAAAAGAGTGCCTAAGGTGGCTTCTTTCCTATCAAAATACAAATAAAAATATAAGACATAAATCACACCACAAAATTTCATTTATTCTCTGTTTCATATTTTCAATTCCAAATCCAGTAATGTAATTTTTAGAGCATAAACTAATAATGTTGAGCTAAAACAGTTTAACATCTTGTATATGTTTTTCTTGGTTATTTAGTTTTAGATTCTCTGTACATTTCTTCTTTCATATTAAAACACTGAATGTTTCCTATTCTCCTCTGCTTTATCTGCTAATTTATCTTACCTATTTTATAAAACAACTATAATTTAAAAATCATAGTTTAGAATAGAATACAATAGAATTCTTTATTGGCCAAGTGTGATTGGACACACAAGGAATTTGTCTTTGGTGCATGTGCTCTCAGTGTACATAAAAGGACAAGATACATTCATCAAGAATCATAAGGTACAACAGTTAATGATAGTCATAGGGTACAAATAAGCAATCAGGAAACAGTATCAATATAAATCGTAAGGATACAAGCAATAAAGTTACAGTTATGCAGTCATAAGTGGGAGGAGATGGGTGATAGGAACGATGAGAAGATTAATAGTAATAGTAATGCAGACTTAGTGAATAGTTTGACAGTGTTGAGGGAATTATTTGTTTAGCAGAATGATGGCGTTTGGGAAAAAACTATTCTTGTGTCTAGTTGTTTTGGTATGCAGTACTCTATAGTGTCATTTTGAGGATAGGAGTTGAAACAATTTATGTCCAGGATGTGAGGGGTTTGTAAATATTTTCACAGCCCTCTTTTTGACTCGTGCAGTATACAGGTCCTCAATGGAAGGCAGGTTGGTAGCAATTATTTTTTCTAATTATCCTCTGAAGTCTGTGTCTGTCTTGTTGGGTTGCAGAACCGAACTAGACAGTTATAGAGGTGCAGATGACAAACTCAATCATTCCTCTGTAGAAATGTATCAGCAGCTCCTTGGGCAGTTTGAGCTTCCTGAGTTGGCACAGAAAGAACATTCTTTGTTGTGCTTTTTTGGTGACGTTTTTGATACTAGCTGTCCATTTTAGATCTTGAGATATGACCTAGAAATGTGAAGGTCTCTACTGTTGATAGTGTGTTGTCTAGTATTGTAAGAGATGGTAGTATGGGGGGTTTCTCCTAAAGTCTACCACCAGTTTTGAGTGTGTTCAGTTCCAGATTGTTCCGGTCAATGATGAGGCTAGTTGTTCAACCTCCCGTCTGTATGCGGATTCATCGTTGTCTTGAATGAGACCAATCACTGTTGTATCATCTGCAAACTTCAGTAGTTTAACAGATGGATCATCTGAGATACAGTCATTGGTATATAGAGAGAAGTGGAGAGAGCACATAGCCCTGGGGGGCTCCTGTGCTAATTGTACAGGTATCTGATGTGATTTTGCCTAGCTTCACCTGCTGCTTCCTGTCTGTTAGGAAGCTTGTGATCCACTTACAAGTGTGTTCAGGTACCACTAGCTGATTTAGTTTAGTTAGAAGAATGTCCGGTATGATGGTATTGAATGCTGAACTAAAGTCTACAAAGAGGACCTTTGCATAGGTCTTTGGAGATTCAAGATGTTGTAGGATGTAGTGCAGCGCCATATTAACAGCATCATCTGTCGATCTATTTGCTCAGTATGCAAATTGCAGGGGGTCTAAAGCAGATCCGTGATGGTTTTCAGGGGACATCACTAGCCTTTCAAAGGTTTTCATAACTACAGTTGTTAGAGCAACTGGTCTGTAGTCATTCAGCTCCTTGAGGAAGGGCTTCTTCAGCACTGAGATGATAGTGGAACATTTGAAGCAAGAAGGAACATAGCACATCTCTAGCAATTTATTGAAGATATTGGGTCAGCACAGACTTTTAAGCAAGGAGGAGTTATCTTGTCTGGGCCTGGTGCTTTTCCTGACTTCTGTCTGTGAAATACATCTTGCACTTCCTTTTCTGTGATCACCAGGGGTTGTGAACCCAATGGGATGGGATCAGTTGTAGGAGGTTTGGCTGTTGTTGGTGTGTCTGGGATGGGGGTTGTGGAGATAGGTGTCTGCAGTTTCCTTTCAAACCTGCAGTAAAACACGTTCAGGTCATCTGCCAGTTGTTGATTTCCTTCAGCCTGGGAAGGAGGTTTGCTGTAACCGGTGATATTTTTAACAGTTTTCCACATGTTTGCTGGTTTGTTTGTTGAGAACTGATTTCTTAGCTTTTCAGAGTAGCTTCTTTTTGCTGCTCTGATCTCCCTTGTTAATACGTTTCTGGCCTGATTGTACAGCATTCTATCACCTTTTCTGTAGGCTTCCTCTTTGGTACGACGTGGCTGCTTAAGTTTAGCTGTGAACCAAGGTTTATTGTTATTGTGTATTCGCAAATTCCTGGTCGGTACACATAGGTCTTCACAGAAGCTGACATATGATGTTACAGTATCTGTGAGTTCATCTAAGTCTGCAGAGGTATTTTCGAAAACATTCCAATCACTGCAGTCAAGGCAGGCTTGTAGCTTTAGCTTTGCCTCCTCAGTCCAGGTCCTCACTGATTTAATTGTTGGTTTCGTGGTTTTAAGTCTTTGTCGGTAAGCAGGTACAAGATGAATCATGCAATGATCAGTGTGTCCCACAGCTGCTTGTGGTAAAGACCGATTATGGCTTAACATATGCCAATTCATCCTATGGCAATTTATTCAATCAGTAATAGTTAAGCAGAGAGCCAGTTTTGTCCAATGGTTAAGGTGATAGGCTAGAAACTGGGAGACTGAATTCTAGTTCTGCTTTAGGCATGAAAGCACGCTGGGTGACTTTGGCCAGTTATTCTCTCTCAGCCCAACCCATCTCACAGAAAACAGAGGACAAAAGGAGTATTAGGTATGTTCACAACTTGGGTTTATAAAGTAATAAAGGCAAGATTTTTTTTAAAAAAACCTCCCTTTACACAATATGTGAAGTCCCACTAAAGTAGTACGGAAATACTTACAAATGGTTAAAATGTTTGCATGTGTACATCATTAACATATAAAAGGTTGTATCTAGAGTTAATACAGTACCAGAAACAAAATCACTACAAAGGGAGAACTGAAAATGAGAATCAGTTGATTTATTTGTACCTTAAAAGAACCCATTTATTTCTGTCGTAAAAGAAATCTTATGACCAGATTTTGAAAGAGGTCATCAGTAAAAACCAGGCAATCAGTGAGAAGCAATGGCAACCTGTAATATGAACTTCCCTATAATTTGCCTGTCTATCTCTCCTGCTATTATTGATAGTTAGAAAGGTTTGGTTTTGATATTAAGATGTTTTATGTATTATTTGTATTCTGTACTATTCTGATGCAGACTTTATTGCAGCATTACAGTTTTACCTGAGATATGCTAATTTGAGGGAGGTGGAAATGTTTTTATTACAATGAATAGCAATGGAATAAATAGCAAATCTAGCTTAGAATCTCAATTTAAATTCCTGGGCTATGTGATCTAAAAATCAAATGGATGGTTGAAGAAAAACTTGATATGAAAGATGTACTGCTCTCCTCTATCTTTCTAGTTCTACAGAATATGAGAAGACTAACAGATAAGACAACTGGCTATTGTGCAGGCATATAGCCCAGGGGGAAGAGAAGTGCTACAAGAGAGCTGAGTATCTCTGAGTGACAGGATTTTTTTAAAAACACAGGGTAAAATCTCTGCATACTCTTTTACTAAATAAGGTACCAAAAGGTTATTTCAGAGTCAGATTAAAACAAATATACGCAAAGGCATACTGCAAAAAAAGGAAAATTACTCTTGAATCCTCACATCTAATTTACTATTTTTAAAGAGGAGGGGAAAAACCAACTCCTTTAATATATTGTGATCAGTTCTGAGAATCAGTGGCTTCTTAAGAGGTTTGGGAAAAAGTAAAACCAAAAGTAAACTTGTGCTTTGCTTGCTTCTACTCAATATGAATATGAAACAGAAACAGTAAGAATGTAATATTTGTCAGAAATTTTTATTTCTCTCTCTCTGTTTTTCAAGCAAGATTTCCTTTCCATAATCTATTTTATTTGATTCATGTTAAAGTTTTGCAAAGAAGCTACATTACGTATCTATATCTCTTGAGAAAGAATTCCAAGGCCATAGTGCCCATCAGGTTTTTTCCCTTTGAGGAAGCTTTTATTTCATTTTATTTATTTAGTTTGTTTCCCACCCATCTCATTGCAAGGCGACTCTGGGCAACGTACAACATTTAGTTTTAGATTTGCCCTTCTGGACTTTGAGAC